CGCTGCAATCAGGCAGAGATTTCGAGCTGCAGCCGGATTAGACCCTTAGTATTAAATTGGTACTCCACAGTCTTAGCTGTGTTTAATTAAATATATAAAATATTATCTTTGTAACAACCTTAGCCTCAACAGGCTTCGGGGACATAAATAATCATTTCATAAATAAACATTACCAATATAACTAAATCCAAAGTAAACGATTCACGCAGTTTTCGGTACGGCATTTTAACGAAAGTAAATGCAACTAGTTCGGAGTTCTAAAGTTCAATAAATAAATAAATAAATAAATCTACCTTAAATCGCGGCCGGTGTAATTTATTTGCGGGAATTGCAAGATAAATAATTATTAAAAGTTCACAAACTAAGTGAAAATTTTTCAGAATAAAATTACAGTGCACAAATAAATTGACAGAAGTAAAAAACAAGAAAGATACGCCAATATAAAAATGTTCACAAACTAAATGAAAAATCTTAAGAATAAAAATTAAAAAAGTAGCACAATATTTATCCAACGTTACTCAACGTGTTGCCTTTGGACGCTCTCTCTCAAACCGGATTCAGGCGTTCCTCAAGAGCCACCTCGGGCCACTTTTGTTCGGCCTCTTTATCAACGACTTGCCTGAAGTGGTTCTACACTCAAATGTTATGATGTACGCAGATGACGTCAAACTATGTTTGCCATTGACGAACTCTCATTTACATAAGCTTCTGCAAACGGACCTCAATAACATGCAATCCTGGTGTACTAATAATCTCCTCTTTCTCAACAACTCCAAATGTCATTTTACCGGAAGAATTGCCACCTCGCGAGCGATCTTGAACACATCTGTACGGTAACAGATATCGAAGTCCTGTTTAACCATACTCTTAATTTTAATGACCACATTGGTTTAATTATTAGTAAAGCTCGAGGGGATTTTGTCCTTGTTCAGCGATGGTGAAAGAAGTTTGATGATCCTTATATATCACTTTTTTATATCTCACTCGTTCGTCCTATTCTAGAATATTGTTCTTGTGTATGGTTACCTCAATATGCGAAGTATCAAGACATTAGTGAATCTGTTCAAAAACAATTAATTTTGTTTGCTCTACGAGGGTTAAACTGGGACCCACTTCGCCGACGGGCTACGACTTTTAAGCCTCCCCACCCTAAAGGATTGTCGAACCTGCCACGGCGTTATGTTTATTTTTATACCCTTGCAGGGTATTATAATTTCAGTCAGAAGTTTGCAACGCAGTGAGGGGGCACCTCCGACTATATAAAGTATATATATTCTTGATCAGGATCAACAGCCGAGTCGATCTAGCCATGTCCGTCTGTCCGTCTGTCCGTCTGTCCGTCTGTCCTTCTGTCCGTCTGTCCGTCTGTCCGTTTCTACGCAAACTAGTCTCTCAGTTTTGAAGCTATCTGAATGAAACTTTGTAGTTAGCCTTCTATATACTCTCACTCGTATATATGTCGGAACGGGACGGATCGGACGACTATATCATATAGCTGCCATAGGAATGATCGGAACATTTTTACAAAAAAAATTATAACATTTTTTGTTTTCAACAGAATTTGATCAAATTTGAGATATAGCCATTTCATATTATTCTACAATTTTGTGTTAAATTTTATGAAAATCGGACGACTATATCATATAGCTCCCATAGGAACGATCGAGAAATTAATACAATTAAATTTATAACTTTTTCAGTTTTGAACAGATTTTCATCAAATTTGAGCTATGGCCATTTTATATTATTCTTAAATTTTGTGTCAAATTTCATGAATCGGACGACTATATCATATAGGTGCCATACAACCGATCGTTTGATGTAGAGGAAAAATGCAAATCTGTGAATGTAAAACTGCAAATATAATATGTATAGGGGAATGAAATGAAAGCAGTTATTACTTCATTGTTTTTAACACAAATATATATAATTTATATTGTATAGATTCCAATTCATAGAACTTCTATCTGCAAGGGTATATAAACTTCGGTGTGCCGAAGTTAGCTTCCTTTCTTGTTATGCTTATTAACGGTCAAATTTGCTCCACATACCTAATAAGCAAATTACGACTCGCTGTCCCTGTATGGCCTACTCGTCATTTTCGTCCAATAGCCCTTAATGTGTGTAAGACGAACCTTGACGAGCATGTATAATAATTATTATTTTCTGCTACATGTTGAATTGTCCATCGAGATTAATGTACATAATCTGTTAAAACACATATTCTGCCTCTGCCCACCTGATGTGAGTCGTAGCACATCGTTAAAAAACACTCCCTTTTGTTGTGCAGAGGTAAGGGTATAATTTAAGAATTGCAGACATATTGCTGTTTATTTTATTAATAAATAAATAAATAAAAAACACCAATCTAATTAATTTGTATATTATTATACCCTTGCAAGGTATTATTATTTCAGTCAAAAGATTGCAACGCAGTGAAGGAGGTACCTCCGACCATATAAAGTATATTAATTCTTGATCAGCATCAACATCCAAGTCGATCTAGCCATATCCGTCTGTCCGTTTCTACACAAACTAGTCTCTTAGTTTTAAAGCTATCTGAACGAAACTTTGTATATACTCTCACTCGTATACATATATGTCGGAACGGGCCGGATATGAGAAATATATCATATAGCTGTCATAGGACCGATCGGAACATTTATCCAAAAAAAAATCAAAAGACTTTCTCAACAAAATTTTATCAAATTTAATACATAACCATTTTATATTATTCTACAATTTTGTGAAATTTTTAATTTTTGAATTATGAATATCGAACGACTATATCATATACTAGCTGTACTCTGCCACGTTTCTCTGTGGCATATTGTGGTTGCACGCATAAGAAATAAGTAAAACAAAAAAGAATAATTTTCAAATTCATTTAATTCTGTAATACTTGTGGGTATGCAATATTCTTCGTTTCTCCATTTGCCGCGTAAATATAAAGACTATCTTGTTTTCCGACACGGGAACACGCAACATATAATTGTCCGTGTGAAAAACAATCTGCATCCAAATCTAGACCACACAACTCCAGAGATTGACCTTGAGCTTTATTAATGGTCATTGCGAACGCCAAAAGAATGGGAAACTGCAATCTCTTGAACAGGAACGGTGTATCAGTCGGGGTCAGAGGAATCCTAGGAATGAGGACATCTTCACCTTTGAAAGGACCAGTTATGATCGTTGCTTCTACTACGTTGTTAATCAATTTCTTGACTGCGAGTCGCGTACCGTTGCAGAGTTTCGGCTGATTTATATTCCGGAGCATGATAATCGGCGCACCTATTTTTAATTTCAATATGTGTGGTGGCATTCCAGGCAGATCAAGTGAGTTTAGAAATTCCGTAGGGTAATTAACTGCTTCCTCTGCCTCCACAACGGTATCTATCGACTTATATGTAATTTCGTCAGTTTCTATGCTGGATTGGATTACATGATTGAGCTGGTAGACATCTTTGTTCTTGGCAGCGAGAATCGCACGTTCACTGAGCCAATCGTGATTCCTATAATTTATTCGGATATCGGGGAACACTTTTTGGATAAGTCCTTTCTTCGATGTAACTAAATTACAGAAATTCTCGGGCAATACTATTTTTCTCGACGTCTCATTGACTGGCAGCTTTCCGTTCCCCGTGTCCAGTAGCTGTCGTGAGAATACGTCGGCTAAGTCATCGTTCTGTAACTGGACACGCATATTCGTCTTCAACTGTAATGTACGTACATGTTGCCACAATATAGAATATTTTAGGCAAGTATTTATCTCGTCAGCTGGTGTCGATCGGGAAATCACAGGCAACGTTTGCCTGAAATCCCCTGCGAGCAATATTAACGCATTCCCAAATGGTTGGACAGCTCCATGCAAATCCCGCAATGATCGATCGAGAGCCTCCAGCGATGTTTTGTGTGCCATTGTGCATTCATCCCAAACAATGAGTTCACATCTTTGCAATACTTTTCCCATGCCAGATGCTCTGGAAATGTTGCACTTAGGAGTCTCGATGATTTGCATGCTCAACGGCAACTTCAGCGCTGAATGAGCAGTCCTCCAACCAGGTAACAATGTTGCAGCGATTCTAGATGAAGCAAGAAGTAAAGCTATGTCCTTGTTAGCTCGCACCGTAGCCAGAATGAATGTAATGTAATGTTTTCCCCGTTCCTCCTGAAGCATCCAAGCTTCAGCTACCCTTGCCCTGTCGCGTTCATTATTTTGAGAGTGAATCAAATCGATTGCTGCAGAACGCGACTGCCTAACTCTCAATCGTTTTCTCTCAAGCCTATCTGCTCGTCTTTCTGCTGATTCCGCGTTGTGCATCTGCATTGCTCTCAGCCGCTCAGTCTCTCGGGTGGAGGCCCGCTCTTCGTCAGTCATATTCGTAATCTTACCTCTTTTTGCTTCTGTATTGCGAGTACGACGACCCAATCTCGACTTCTTTGGTGGCATGACTTCGTTTCTTACTGAACCTGAACAAAAAAATAAAATTTTAATCTCCAATTTCTTCTGTCAATATGTTGGGGATGTTTGACAGGAAATGCTTCGATTCATCTGGCTGCCTGTAGAGGGCGCAGCAGTAGGGGCACAGGAAAACGCGAAAAACAACTGATATATTCGCAAACGCAGATAAGCTATCAACATCAAAAGTAGACAATAACCGACTGGACTGGAACCTCAACGCATGTTGTGTAAAAATTTGGGAACTTTTCAAGTCTATAAAGGAAGTAGGCACGAACAGAGCATTTTTATATATATAGATGTATGTCATACAATCGAACGTTAGATATAGCGGAAATATGCAAAACTGAAATGTAAAACTGTAAATATAATATATATATATATATATATATGTGAATGAAAGCAGGCATTACTATTTTGAATCTTAACATAAATATATATAACTTATATTGTTTTAATTCGTCATCAAAATTCTATCTGCAAGGGCATATAAACTTCGGCGTGCCAAAGTTGGCTTCGTTTCTTATTTTTGAAATCATACCTGACTACATTAATTGCATCGCTCATCTGCTGCTGTTCTCTTTTTTTATCCAAGGACAACGTTGTATGGCGAAGAATATTCGGAGCAAAGACCGTTGCCAGATTACTGCTATCCATTTTATTGCCACTTATTAAACAATTTCCATCAACATCGCATATATCGTCGCTGTGTGCTGCCACTTTTGCAAGAAATACAAGTAGGACATACAGCGTGTCTCTATGTGGAATCGGAAGTAGTCTTATTAAGTGTGATATAGCTTCTAGTTGCAATCTCCGATTTCGTATACCTGCAAAATTCGGTTTGTTATTATTTTTTAACGGGAATGGAACCTCGGGTAGCCTTAGTTTGTACAGCGTTACGGAAAGCAATTGGATAAAATTGGATATTGTGGGAATTGAACTCAGCCCAATAATTGATGGCGGGTATCTCACAGTTTAACTATAGTTCAGTATAGTGTTGCCAAGAGTCCTGGACTAATAATCTTACTGTCCAAAGGTAGACCTTGAGTTGTTATATTGTTTTTTTTTATTTATTATATAAAGAAATTTACATACTGTAACTATAAATTTTTTTTTACAGAAGCAATGTAAAAATAATTCATTATTTCCAAGCTCAAAAAACAGTATATGCAACCTCCAATTTAAGAAAATGTTTATACCCATGCAGGATATTATAATTTCAGTTAGAAATTTGCAACGCAGTCAAGGAGTTTGTCTAGCCCTCTCCGTCTGTCCGTTCTTACGCAAACTAGTCTCTCAGTTTTGAAGCTAATTGAATGAAACTTTGCAGTTGGTTTTCAATATACTCTCACTCGTATGTTATATGTCGGAACGGGCCGGATCGGACGACTATATCATATAGCTGCCATAGGAACGATCGGAAAATTTTTACAAAAAGAAAATTATTACTTCTTCAAATTTGCGATATTGCCCTTTTATATTATTCTTTAATTTCGGTTTCCAATTTTCATAAAATTAAAATCGAAATTCTAGAATAATATAAAAATAGAATATATATAAAAACCTTTAATATGATGAAAATCTGTTAAAAATTTAAATTGGTTTGACTTGTTTTCTTAACATTTTCCAATTGTTCCTATGGCAGCTATATGATATAGTTATAGTATATAATATGTACGAGTGAGATTATATAGAAGACTGACTACAAAGTTTCCTTTAGGTAGCTTTAAAACTGAGAAACTAGTTTGCGTAGAAACAGACAGACGGACATGGCTAGATCTACTCGGTTTTTGAAGCTAATCAAGAATATGCATAAATACTTTATATGGTCCGAGATGACTCCTCCAATGCGTTGCAAACCCTGCAAGGGTGTAATATAACGAGAAAATTAATTACCGACGTGATGCCAGATTGTTTGCTTGCATTTCTTCTAGGTGGATTAGTATTATGGATTTTAGTATGAACAGACTATCTACATTAGAGTTTATGTGTAGAAATCATTATAATTATGCACATACATTTTGAAAGGTTCATGCAATTCAAAACAAGTTTAACAATGACGCAACATTAATAGGGTCTTCCCACAGAGATCCATCTGCTTCCTCCATCCGTTGAACGGATGGTCTATAAGGTCTTACGGTTCCGAAATTTCTCATTCTCCCTCTCCTTCCGGTGTCCATCCGAATTTGATTAACTTGTTTGGCGGTAGTTGGACGATAGTTCTTCGGTGCAACTCTAAATTCTTCTTATAGCCTATGAAAATTTTAGCATATTTCCACGAAAATGTAAACAGAGATGAAAGGAACGAGTTGAATATGGAAGGCGCTAAAGTTGAAAGTACACCATCGTCGGTGTTTTCCAGTATATTCTAGCCCTCCGTTGTCTCGAATATTATTTCTGCTTTATTTGAAATAGATTTTGTGGACCTAAATGCACACTCCTTGGGGCATTTGCTCTTTGTTAACTAATGCATTTTAATATAGTGCCACCATATTCTGCCGCAATTTGGATGTTTTCTGTTGTTAAACAGCAATTTTTTACAGTAGCCATTTTAACTAGCTTTGCTTATACTTTTGAAGACGGAGTTCACATCTGTGAAAAATCCGAACTGTTTCACACGAATGGACTGTGTAGGAAGACAGTATAGGATCAAGTATTTCTACTTGGTACGTGGAAATTAAGTTAAGTCCACGTCAACATAATTGAGGTTATAGATAAAGGTTATGCCAAGCATAGTTCCACGGTTGGCTTAGGATGGTAGTTTGATTAGGAGGAGTCTTTTTGAGTAAGAAGGTAGTCTTGGGTTTGGATCATAATTAAAACCGAGTAGAGCGAAAAGTAAAAAGGTTTTTTGAACCGATTCGATGGGTTTACTGTGGACACCGCACTGAGGGATCTAATACAGCATCCATATTCAAAGATAGAAACAACTAAAGAAATATATCGGGATTTATAACATAGGGGTCATTGAATTTCTTTGACCACCGTTTAATAAATCCAAGCACGCCCCTCTATTCACCCCCTCTGTTCTAAATAATGTAAACAATAAGGGACCCAAATGACTCCCTTGAGGAACGCCAGAAAAACATAAGACAGATTATTCTTAAAGAGGACCTTTTGCGTCCTGCTATTCAGATAACTTGAGATCCAACTAAGAAGATCAACTAGAAATCCCATTAAATCGATTTTCTTAACTAGAAGGGAATGGTTAGAAGAATCAATTACTTTACTAAAGTTAGTATAGATTTCGTCATTCTGAAAGTTATTATGGAAGCTCTTTATTATAAAGGAAGCGAGCTCCAAAAGGTTCATTTTTTTTATCTTTTTATTTATAAATCCATGTTGACATGGAGAAATAACGGATCTACAAAGGTTGCAAAGATAAAAGACTTTTTGGCAAGACAGTCAGATATATTCCGTAAGTCAGATCCAAAGTCGAGAGTCTCATCGAAATTAGCATGATAGTGATCTTCTGGTTGCGTCAGAGGCGCCACCCTGGCTTAATTGACTTTTGCCGGATCAGAGCCAAAACAAAGATCGAGCAAGTCGTCTAAGGAACTTCGTACATGGTTGACTTGAGACGGCAAATGTTAAACAAGCCAGCGATAAAGTAATGCTGTGTAGAAATTAAGAGAGTATTGGTGGAATTATTTAAGCACTAAATAGCTCCAGGTATATTAAAATCACATAGGACTACCAACTGGTCTCTATCCAAAAGTCTACTGGAAACCATCTGAATAGTGAAAAGGGGGTTCCAATAAATAAGAAGTTCCGACAATGGAGATATGTAGGAACAGGTAATAAAAATGGAGCTACCATTGATAGACAGCTTTACACATTGGAATTTAGCATCGTTGCATTCCTCGACGTGAGTGAGGAGTCAACCGTTATAAGGACTCCACCCAAACGCCTGATAGGGAGTAGGTTAGTTTTTTGGTTCGGGATTGGGAGACGTAGATCAGGCCTAGGATGAGTTATTTTACAGGCCGCATTTTTTTTCTAAGTTTTCAACTCTTTGGCAACAACGTACTCTGGTTAGAATTTGGTAGAGCAAATAGTGTCAAAGAGTTTGAATTTTTATTTTGATTTTATTAGCTCTGGTCTTGCCTTGGATAAAGGTGATAACATCTTTCAATGTTTAAGCAGGGGGGAGCCACGAAACAAATATATGTCTCGTAAGTGGAGATTAGTTAACTTCCGTGCCATTGTCGGCCGGTATTCTGGGCCTAACACCCTGAGCGGATGTAATGATATTTAGGGGGCTTTGGGGGGTCATTATTTGGGACCCCCAGGGGATAAAACAGATATCAACTCTGGTAAGGGTATTCGGTACATTCGGGCACCGAAACTTTTCTAGCTCTCAATCTCAGCACGGCTGCTGCTATGTGCCCGTCGCGGGTTGTTGGTATCCGCCAACATGCTGCCCCCCAATTGCGGTTTTTTTTTTTTTGCGCCTGGGAGCTTTATTTAAGAGCTAAGACTATTAAACTGGTTATACAGCGCCAAGAACATAGTTTAGCGAAAACTCGATAATATATCCTTAAAACCGCCCTTGGTTTGCTACATGAAGTGCAGCATTTCCGTCTCCATCTCGCGACAGTCCTCGCAGCAGTAACGCAGGCCGATGTTTTTTCTAACATCGTCCACCGTCCCGTCCAAGATGTTGGCGCACAGCCAGACACCTGCAGTAATGTGCTTTTTCAGGTCTTGGCAAAGCTGAGAATCTGCGAATTCCTGATTGGGACTTACCACTGTACTTAAACTTTTGGAAATAAGCGAGAGAGAGCCATAGATAAGACAGGCGGTACAAAGAGAGAGTGGGAGTGCGAGAGCGTGGATATTAGCAAGCAACATTTAGCGGTCGCGACGGCGCAGACAACGGCTAAATGGGATAGACACAAAGAGGAATGCAAAAAAGTGCAAAAGCAAGTAATAGCAGCACAATTAAAATTGATAAACAAACTCAATTAACTACACAAATTAGAAAAGCTGCGGGAACATGCGAAGTGAACGGGAAGTTAATAAACACAAGGTAAGAGGTTTAAATTTAAGCCCCGGTGCTTTATGCAAAATTTAAGCATAAATCGAGAGCGCAAGAAAAAACACTTCCGTTTACTCGGAAAGATAGACAATAACTATATAAAGATAATAAGTGTCGCTGTCGCAACGATGCAAACAACGGCTTAACAGGGAACGCACGAAGAGGAATGCGAAATATGCAAAACCAAGCGCTAGCAGCGCAATAAAAATAGAATGCACAAGAATAGCTGCGTGCAGGGCATCGGGTAGGTATTGCATCGGTAGGTATTATACATCTCGATCGAATTAATCCAATTGCAAAAAAAGGCTTCCTTTCTGGTTTATTTATAATATATAAAACATTAAATTTGTATTTACGCACGTTGAGTTTCTATAAAGGTAGAATATAACGCAGTACACAGAAGAGGTTCGGGAAGGTCTCGTAGAAATTCTTTAAGTAAAGTGGCAACGTCGTGTGGACATGTATTGACAGGAATTTTGAAATCTCCAATACCGCTATCAAATTCTTCTCGCAACTAGAGAAATATTAGACACACAGTGAGAGCATTTTATAGATAACACGTCATTACCTGCTTGATACGCTTTTTGGATGAGCTTACACGAAAAAGTCCGACCTTTTGCAATCCATTTTCCTCTAAATGCTCAATACAGCTATAAACAAATAGAGGCACCATAAGATCTTGATGGGGTCTATTGTAGTTATGTTGTGATTGATCTGTTTTTAGAGGGTCGCTAAATCGCTCGCAGTTTTCCATAGGCCCATTTTCCAAAGACTTGGTTGGTAAACTCTCACAAGATCGCACCTAAAAAATACATTTTTAAATAATATCTATATATATATATATATATATTTTGTATATAATCCAAACCTTACATAGAACATGTACATATACATATGCTTTAAAACCGTGCAAAAAATAATTACTATAGGCTTTTTAATGTTAGGGAAATCATTTGACGGTATAAATGTATAAATAGGTTATAAATTATTTTTCTAAAAGTTTCTGTAGCATCTATATAATGCAGTTGTTCGATCCGACCTGTTACGATTTGCATAGAAGTCGAACTGCAATGTTTTATTCAGATAGCTTCTAAACTGAGAGACTAGTTTAAGTAGAAATGTACAGACGGACATGGCTAGATATAATTTATAGGGCCGAAAATGAGTCTGTTCGAAGCAGACCGCTCGCGCATAGGTGTACTGGTGCACCTGCTGCGCTCATAGGCGCTATTCTCTTTGTTATCTATTACTCTCTCTCTCTTCTTCTGTCACCTCATCTATTAAGCAAAACTACATTTGTAAGCTTATATATATTGAAGCCAAGCGTCCGATCGGAAGTTACAGCTCCGACTAGATTAATACGAAAATAAATACGGCATAAAACAAACCTATCGTGCGTTAATTAGTAAATGCTAAAGGGTGGCAAATTCGTTGTCTTCCCCACAAACATTTTGGTGACCCCGACGGAATTCCTTAGCTCGGAGCCTACAACCCTGTGTTCGCTTTTTAATATTGTTTAAACAAATCGCTGTGCTTCGCTGTCGCTTACTGGCATTTGGTCATAAGCAAACAAGCAAACGCACATACATACATACAGAACTACCTGAGTGCATATAGCCGGCCGCTGATTTTCGTTGACATCGCGCGGTTAAAACAAAGCTGTATTGTGCCAAACATTATAAACAAAAGTGGCTCGCGTTTAAGCTTCGCAAATAGTGCCTATTTCAGATATATATACCTATTTCAGATATATATATAGCATAGACGCGCGTTTGCCAATTATCCGCTGTTGCGAGGCAGACAGTTTACAGCAACAACATTGTTGAAGTGCCGTTGCATCTCGGTGACGCTAATTAACCTCTAAATTTCCGCGGTGGAAACAAAACGGGTTCATACCTACTGAAGCGGTCAGACATTTTCCTTTTATTAATTCTTGTCGCGTGAGAAAATAAAAATGTCTAATACGGAAAACTCGGTTCAGCCTCAAAATGAACCGCCAAGTGCCGTGGACTTTTACCGAGCCAAAACCCAATCCCTTTTGCAGCAATTAAATTCGGTGAATATTTATATAAACGCAGAGTCGGTGGATCAGTCTGATGAAGCTTTTTACTGGCGCGAATGGAGTGAATAAATTTCTGGCCTTTGGTTCCGCACAGACTTCGCTGGAAAAATTTGATTTTGCGGAGATAACGAGCGACTATCGGATCAAATACTCCACAGCGCTCATGGATGTGAAGGCGAAAATAAATTGAGGTTTAGCGGCACTAAGTAAGTCGCATTTGCCGGCTGCATTCACTGAAAATTCAACATCCATCGACATTATTAATCATCCGGATCTAGGAAGCCTGGGCTGTCAATTCTGGAGATAGCTCGTTTCCATGGATCCTATTCTGATTGGCCGGATTTTATTCCGACGTTCACCACAGTCATCGGAAATGATGAGGAGCTAGGCGATATTGTAAAATTACAATATCTAAGGTCAAGTTTAGGTGGCATGGCTCTAGAGACCATACGTTCGCTTGAGCCCTCGAATGCCAATTATAAAAAGGCTTTGGATTTACTCACCAATCGATTTGATAATAAAGTTCTGAATTTTCAGGCACACTTACAGGTAATATTTGGGTTAAAGAGAAGGGATCGGCCAAGGGTCTTCGGTAGTTAGGCGATTGCATGAATACGCATATGCGAGTACTCCGTAGACTTGCTACAACGCAACAAATCTTAGATGGATTGCTAATTCACATCGTCGCACGAAAGCTGGATCAGAGGACGGGCGAAAAATGGGAAGAGGATTTGTCCATCAACGAGCTATCTACATGGGAGTCTATGGAGTTGTTCTTGCAGAGGAGGTGTAGGATGATGGAAAATTAGTATCAAGCCTTGGTAACGCAAACACCAGGCCAGCTGGTGGGAGGAAACCTGCATAAATATAGCTCATTGATTCAGCTACTAACTCAAATCTTCCGCTATGCATGTTTTGTGATGCGAAGGATCATTATTTGGCAAAATGCTCTCGATTTTTAAATTTGAGTTCGGATCTTCGATTTAGAGAAGCAAAAAAGTTGCACCTGTGCCTCAACTGTTTGAACAAGGGGCATAGTTCAATTCAAAGCACTGCGGATATTGTCGCATGAAGCACCACACATTGTTGCCCTTCAATCAAGACCCATCCGTACCATCTACCTCAGTCTCATCACTATCATCCGATTCACTTCTAAACTCTCAGTCATCAACATCATCTTCATCAGCATTAGTATCATGTTCACATTCATCATCCCAACCTGATCAACATTCATCAAACCCTCCACCAAAACCCACAAATATTCTGCCCGTTAATTACGTGTTGCTTCCAATCATCGAAAGTCGCATACATTAGGTTAATGGGATTGGTTAATCTTCCTTGAATTCTGATAAGGTAGTCAGCATTCGTCGTGACTCATAGTATCACTGATTATCAGCCCCATTTCAATATAATTGCATCATCGCTGATCCTTATTTCAACTGATCAGAGCGAATAGATCTTTTATTGGTGCTGGCCTCTTTTTGAAATAATTGCTACGGAACAAATTTATTCGGATAGCTCGTTGCCAACAGTTCAGAACACCAAACTTGGTTGGATCGTGTCTGGAGGGCTGCCGAGTGCGTCAATCATAAGTCTGTCTTAGCTGCCATCATCAAGGATCCTAGTAATCATTCTGATAATGACACACTTGTTGCCGTAGTAAAGCGATTTTGGAATATAGAGGACTTTAGTTCGTCAGAACCAGTATTGTTGCCTGAAGACTTGCGATGCGAGCAGCTTTTCAAGGAAAGTTGCGTAAGGCTTGAAAATCTCTTGCCCACATCTGGAGTCATATCTTTAGGTGATTTCTTTTGCCTGCCTCGTCGTCGCTTCAAAAGCTTGGAAGCTAAATTAGATAGGTACCTAGCATTGAAGGCTCAGTACTCCGCATTTTTACGGGAATATATGGAGCTAGGTCACAAGTATCGTGTAACAAGGGCAGCATCGGTACCACAATTCTTTCTTCCTCACCATTGCGTACATAAGCAAAAAAGCACGAGCACAAAGCTGCGTGTCGTGTTTGATGGATCAGCTAAATTGACTTCTGGTAGGTCTCTGAATGACTTTCTTGTTGACGGGCCAACAATTCAAAGAAAAATCTTCAACATCCTGATTCGCTTTCGATTTTTCAAAGTTGCCCTTTGTGGAGATATCTGCAATATGTACCGCTGCGAGCGCGTTTCGCATCCTGATAACTTTTTGCAGTGTATAGTTTGGCGACAGAACTCCACGGACAAGCTGAGTGTTTTTAAGTTAAACACAGTGACTTATGGAACCAAGCCAGATGCCTTCTTGGCTATAAGAGCCATGTATCAGCACTCTTATGATGAGGTGGAATCATTCCCGGTTGGAGCCAAAATCGTTCGTAGAGATTGATATGTGGATAATTAAATTTCTGGTGGTGATTCAGTTGAAGAGGTGAGAGAAATTCGTTGCCAGGTAAAGGAGCTACTGTCGCGAGGGCACTTTCCAATCCGCAAATGGTGTTAGAATGATGCAGGAGCTCTCGAAGGGGAGTCTGAGGGCGACAGGGAACAGTTAATAAAATTCCACGATGGATCGTACATCGCCAAGGCCTTGGGCTTGGCCTGGTATCCGGCGTCTGATCAGCTCCTATTTTTTCTATCAAATACTGAAAACTCATCGACCCACCAAACGAATTGCATTGTCAACAATTGCAAAATTCTTTGATCCACTTGGACTAATAACACCAATCATTACAAAATCTAAAATCTTTCTGCAATCCATATGGAGTGCTAACGTGGATTGGGATGACGTATTGCCAGTGCCCATTCTTTCGTCATGGGTGGAGTTGACCTCTCAGTTGGTAGTCATCCAGAACATATAATTTCTACGATTCGCAATGCCATCACAGGGTTCCGTTGAATTGCATAGATTCTGCGATGCTAGCCTACCACGTGTTTATATCTGCGATCGAAGGTTAATGGACAGTTTAAAGTCCATCTGCTCTGTGCCAAGTCGAGAGTAGCTCCCTTAAAGGCTTTGACAATTCCAAGGTTGGAACTCTTAGCAGCTTATAGTAAACATCAAGGAAAGTATAGATTTCGACTGCGCATCTCATTGCTGGTCTGACGCATCTATTGTGTTGGCATGGATTCGCCAGCCCCCGAGCTGTTTAAATTGACTTTTCATCGGGCTGCAAATGCATCAACACTTGGGATAAGTTGCAGCGCGTATTTGCACACATTCATCGTTACATTGCCAATTGCAAACCCAAAGCTGTTCCGTTAAAAGGCCATCTTTCGGTTGAGGAGATCAACCTTGGTACTGTACTGCTTCTGAGGAGCACCCAACAGTTTTACCTTGCCAAAGAGTATAGGGTTCTCAGCCAGAGCAAGCCGTGATATCACCAAGCAAACGGATATCACTGAGGCCAATGCTTGTATGCGATGAATTACTTCGCGTTGGCGGAAGGATTCAGAGCTCAAACTTTGACTACGATAAGAGGCATCCGATATTGTTACCCAATGATCATTCAGTCACAAAGGCAATTGTCGTTTATTTTCATAGGAAATATTTACATGCAGAATCACAAGCGTTGCTTGGCACATTTCGGCAAAGTTATAGGGCAATTGAAGGCCGCAAATTCGTAGCTAGCCGTCCTGCCCAACGATGCCGAAACAGTTGGATAGCAACGATCGAGAAGTTATCTATGATAGAAGACATCACTGGCCACTGCCACTGCATTACTTCGCAGTTTTTATACCCTTGCAGGGTATTATAATTTCAGTCTGAAGTTTGCAACGCAGTGAAGGAGGCACCTCCGACTATATAAAGTTGATCAGGATCAACAGCCGAGTCGATCTACCCATGTCCGTCTGTCCTTCTGTCCGTCTGTCCGTTTCTACGTAAACTAGTCTCTCAGTTTTGAAGCTATCTGAATGAAAATTTGTAGTTTATAGAAGACTATATACTCTCACTCGTATATTTGTCGGAATGGGCCGGATCGGACGACTATATCATATAGCTGCCATAGGAATGATCAGATAATTTTTACAAAAAAATTATAGCATTTTCAGTTTTCCACAGAATTTTATCAAATTTGAGATATAGCCATTTTACTATAGTCTTCGGACAACTATATCATATAGCTCCCATAGGAACGATCGAGAAATTAATACAATTAAATGTATAACTTTTTCAGTTATCAGCTGATTTTCATCAAATTTGAGGTATAGCCATTTTATATTAGTCTTAAAATTCATAAAAATCGAACGACTATATCATATAGGTGCCATACAAACGATCGTTTGATGTAGAGGAGAAATGCAAATCTGTACATGTAAAACTGCAAATATAATATGTATAGGTGAATGAAATGAAAGCTGGTATAACTTCATTGTTTTTTAACATGAATATATATAATTTATATTGTATGGATTCCTAGTCATAGAAGTTCTATCTGCAAGGGTATATAAACTTCAGCTTGCCGAAGTTAGCTTCCTTTCTTGTTAACATAAATATAGGGGGATTTTGATTTCCTTTTGGCAGCCCTAGTTTTTTACAGTTAACACTTGTTTTTTGTCTGGTAACCCTGGTTAATTTTTTCATTAGGCTTATAATTTAACTATGAATCGTTTAACAAACGAACAAAGGCTGCCAATTATTGAATTTTACTATCAAAATGATTGCACTTTTAAGAAAGTTCAGTTTCGTCGACCTTCTCTGTCGGCTATTCGGGGTGTTGTGATGAAATTTCGCACCAAATTTACCCTTAGTTTATTTTTTGTGGGGCCATGTCAAGGCTCATGTCTATAGGGACAAGCCCGCAACAATTGGAGCATTGGAAGCCAATATTGAAGCTTTCATGACCGAGATACCGGCAGAAATGTTGGATAGAGTATTCCAAAATTGGACTAAGCGGATGGAGCATTTAAGTCGCGGGCAACATTTAAATTAAATTATATTTAAACATTTAATTATATTGCCCATACTATGAGTCAAATAAAGATTTAATTCATTTTTCTGAATTTTATGTGTTTTTTTTTTTTTCTTTTTAAAGTAGGAAAGCTTTAAAAAAAATCACCCTTTATAAATTAATTAGATTGTATAATTTATTAATGATTGAATTGCAATCTGCAAAGGTATATAAACTTTGACGTACCGAACTTAGCTTAGCTTTCTTTTGTGTTATAATTTAACAACAGTCGGATCAAACTTAGTAGTTAGCGTATACAAACTTTAGCTTCACAAAAGTGGTGCATATTTAAGAACAAATAAAAAGTTAAAGAAACTTACATTATCGCTGAGCTTAATAACACTTCCGGGATTACTACGACTTCCACGAAACATTGACATTAAGGAACACTTTGAACTATTCCCATTTTCCAAGTAAACATTACGTTTAGTGTCTCTTGCCAAGCACAATTCCAATGGTACTCCAAACAATTCCATCTCTCGTCCGTCTTAATTTAAAAAAAATTATAATTTAATATTTTTTAATTGTATTTCATAGAAAGAATTATGCTTTTTTTCAATAGTAAACTTACTCTGAACATCTTTTTTGCCAATATCGAAAAAGCTGGTGGTAATCGATTTTTTCTTCGGTGCGATTCGCCTCTTCTCCGAAATTCTTTTTAACTCTAAAAAATTCATTTAATTATAATTTTTGGAATATACATATGAATATATTATCGACTATTCTTTATTTAAGTTGCATACCAATGCATCATCAAAGAAAGCTGACATTGGGATGCCTAAGTTTGTATCTGGACAAAGTGTCGAGGAAAATAAAACAAAAAAACAAGACAACTGAGTTGTTAGAGCCATTATAAAGTTATTATTATTTTTATTGTAATGGTCTTTCCAAATGATAGATTTAGATTAACTAATTTTATATTTATGCTTTGAGGTGAGTTCCGATGTGGCTTTCCAAATCTGCACATTTCTGTACCTAAATCAAGCATAATTCCCCTTAAACGCTTAACCAACAATTACCTGTAAATATTATAATAATAGTGTTTAATTTTTCTGAAAAGAAACACTGACATTTAAGTTATCCAGTCGACATTTTCAGCTACCTCGGCTGATCGACCAAAAATATCGTAAAGCTATTTTTATGGCAACAAAGGTGTTCGGTTTCCGATACTTTCATTCATTCCATCATTTAGTCGAATTGGGAATCCCCATCTGACTAAAATTATCATATACTTTAAGCAAAGACTGTACAGTCTACAAGATGCCTCACGACCATACATTCGTTTTGCAATATGAGGCTAATTTTTATACCCTTGCAGGGTATTATAATTTCAGTCAGAAGTTTGCAACGCAGTGAAGGAGGCACCTCCGACTATATAAAGTATATATATTCTTGATCAGGATCAACAGCCGAGTCGATCTAGCCATGCCATGAAGCTATCTGAATGAAACTTTGTAGTTAGCCTTCTATATACTCTCACTCGTATAAATGTCGGAACGGGCCAGATCGGACGACTAAATCATATAGCTGCCATAGGAATGATCGAATAATTTTTCAAAAAAAAAATTATAACATTTTCAGTTTTCAACAGAATTTGATCAAATATAGCCATTTTACTATACTCTTAAATTTTGTATAAAATTTTATGAATATCGGACTACTATATCATATACATAGCTCCCATAGGAACGATCGAGAAATTAATGCAATTAAATTTATAACTTTTTCAGTTTTCAGCAGATTTTCATCAAATTTGAGGTATAGCCATTTTATATTAGTCTTAAATTTTGTGTCAAATTTCATGAAAATCAGACAACTATTTCATAGAGGTGCCATACAAACGATCGTTTGATGTAGAGGAAAAATGCAAATCTGTGAATGTAAAACTGAATGAAAGTAGACATCTTTGTTTTTGAACATAAATACACATAAATACACATACACACAGGAACGATTAAGAAATTAATAGCAAAATAAATGTAAGCTCCGATTCGACCATAAAAAGTGTATAAATTCTTGATCAGGATTAACACCCGAGTCGATTGTACCATGTCCGTCTTCCCGTCCATCTGTCCGTTTCGAAGCACACTAGTCGCTCAGCTTTGAAAGTATCTCAATGAAACTTTGAAGTTAGTCTTTTACATATATACTTTCACTCGTATATATGTATGTCGAAACTGGCCGGATCAGACGACTTTATCAAATAGACGCCATAGGAACGATCGGAAAATTTCAAAATATTCCAATTTTCAAAAATTATTAAATATAGACATTTTTAATATTTTAGAATTTCGGTTTTAATTTTATGAACATCGGATTACCCTATCATTTAGCTGTCATACAAACGATCGCTACATACAGAAGAAAACCGAAAACTGTGAATATATGTTTTTGTCATAAATATATATAATTTATGTTGTATTGATTCCTAGTAATTAAACTGCAACCTGCTAGGGTATAAAAACTTCGGCGTGCCGAAGTTAGCTTTTTTCCATAACATTAAAATCAAAATTCTAGAATAATATAAAAGAGCTATTACTCAAATTTTATGAAAATTTGTAGAAAACTGAAACAGTTATAATTTTAAATTATAAATAAAATTTAAATTAAATTTTACACAACATTTTAGAATAATATTAAATGGATATATCTTAAATTTTATAAAATTTTTGTTGTAAATATTTTCCGATTGTTCCTATGGCATATATAGTCCTTCGATTCGACCCGTTCCGAGACATGGCTAGATCAACTCCGCTGTTAATGCTGATCAAGAATATATATATATTATGTGGTCAGAGGTGACTCAATCACTGCGATACAGGTTTCTGACTAATACCCTGTAAGGGTGTAAAAAAATAACCTAAAAACCATTTATGTATATAACATTTTAAACTTACCCGCAACATTTCCAATATTTAATTCCTTAATCTTTTCTAAAATAATATCGTTTAGGAAATCCGTTTCAAATTTGGATAACTTTGTTAATATCACATCTTCAACGTGAAACCTTTCGCCATTATCGGCAACCCATAGTAAATTCTCCTAAAATTGTAGGTATGAATATTTTAAAAATATGTTACCTAATATAAAATATTTTCTCACCGCAGGATGCCATTTTAAGGAAGGAGTGCGAATAAGGTCTTCCTGCACATTGTGTGTATTTTGGCTTTTTGAACGGCTACGCAATATTTTTGTAGTTACAAATTGTCCAACATTCGACAATGACTTCGATTTTTGCATATTTGGTGTTAATACATTTCGTTGATCTAAGGAAAGATAAAAAAGACATTTTTAAAATAAAAACCAAAACAAGAATGGAAGGAGAACTTCGGCACGCCGAGGTTTATACACCGTTGCAAATAGTACTTCGACCACTAGTAATTAATGCAAGATAAATTATACATATTTATGTTAAAAAACAATGAAGTAATGCCTGCATTTGTTTATTTACCTATACACATTATATCTAGAGTTTTAAATTCAGTTTTGCCCTTTCCTCTAATCTTACGATCGTTTCTATGGCAGCTATATAATATAGTCGTCCGATTTGCATAAAATTTAAACAAAAATTTTAGAATAATAGGAATAATAGAATACACAATTTTCTAGAATAATATAGAATGGCTTTATATCAAACTGAAAATCTGTTGAATATTGAAAAAGCTTTAATTTTTTTTTCTAAAAATTTTCTGATAGTTCCGAAGGCAGCAATTTGATATAGTTGTTCGATCCGGCTCTCTTCGACATACATATGTAATACATATACATATTATGTATATACAAGTGAGACTATTTAAAAGACAAACTGCAAAGTTTCATTCATATAGCTTAAAAACTGAGAGACTGTTTGCGTAGAAACGGACAGACGGACATGGCTTGATCGACTCGGCTGTTGATGCTAATCAATAATATATATATTCTTTATAAGATCGGAGGTGATTTCTTCACAACGTTGCAAACTCCTTACTGTTATACCCTTGCAAGGGTATTACAAGATAGAACGCTTATTTCGGAAATCGGAAGTTTGTAAAGTTGGGGTAATCAACCGAATCGATTTAGTGAATTCAACACATGACAACATTTTCTTACTTTATACATATGTATGTATGTATAAGGCAGACATGTATAACCATCGAACTAGTTTTTCAGGCTGTCCATAACACTGGAAAACTCAATTGCCTTATTATTTGATGCTTAAACTTTCTGGTACCGGGTCCTTCACAGTCAATTAAACTAGATTGGACGTTCTTACTTGGCCTATAATTTAAATATAACTCAAATGATCAGTTTCGGAAGTTTTTTTTTTTTCACGATCAATACATTTTACCAGTCTTATTTGTATACTAAAAAGAAGCTTTGGCGACTTAAAATTTTTGTTAAAAAACAGTGCATTGCGGACGCTACAAAAAATAGAAGTGCTGTTTGACCTAATCTTGAAAATTGTATATATATATATATATATTTAATATATAAAACTTTTAAACAACAATAAAATAATGTAGTTTTTCATTTATATAAGTAATATTTAATTTATTACTTTATTTATGTTACAAGGTTATTCCCGATTTAGAACTGTAAATCGCGAACGCTACAATATTTCCATTATGCTTTTTGCTAAAATTTGTTAATGACATTTTAATTAGATAAATAAAAACATTACTTCAATACATAAAAAAATAGTTGAAACAAAAGTAATAAGGGACACATGTTTTTTAAAGAAAATATGTTTTAGGTACGAACTGAAGAATATTTGTTCTATCTAAATGATTTTTCTTTATATATGTATGGATGGCAAACGGTACAATATTCAATTCGCTAAAAAACCTTCTTCTAGCCACAATAACAACATTTTTTTATCTATTAATTACCAACAATAGGCTGAGTTTGAGAATACATTTCCTAACTTTAACACCGACTGCTTATCATGTAATGATGAGAACACCTATTTATTATATACATTATTTATCGTTCTTTTTCGCGCTGCAGCATTTGTACTTTACTTTTGAACGGATCAGTTTAAATACAAAATAAAATACAAAAGGACTCTTTAAAATTAATAAAAACTTATCTAATTTTTAGGACTACTAATCTAATTCTACTTTTGTCATAGAAAGGACTAAAATTTAGTACGTTTGGAAAGACGTTTTCTCCGTGTGCACGAGCTTAATATAGATTTGAAGAGTCCTGGATAATTTAAATTTATAAAAAGGTATTACCTTTAATACTTACATATATTCGGAATTTTTTCTTTTAATGTATTTATAGAAGCCCCTGTAGAATTGTAGTGCCCATGTCCATGCCAAATATTTGAAAGAAAGTGAGAGCTCGAAGACAGCAAGCCGCTTGAAGAAGGTCTCAACGATTTATCTTGAAAATGTTCCGATGGGCTGGATGGGGAAGTGGGGGCAGAGGTACTGTCTAGCACCGATCCATTTAAAATTTGACGCCTCCATTCCAACGCCTTTTCTCTTCTCTCATCCTCAGACTTCCTCCATTCGGTATGGGCATTTTGTAGATTTATGGTACTATCGTTGCCCCGTATAAAGTCCAATGCAATTAGCGGCCAAGCATCTAAGGTCTGAGTAGCTTTATTTAAGCCATCATTCATTCCCGGAGGATTTATTTCACCTTTGGACTTGATATTTCTCAAAGTTGTATCATAATTAATTGATCGAAATTTATTTGCTGCATCTATATCGTGAACACTTTTCTTTCTGGCCATTTTTAGATAACGTTTAATTGTATTGCTCACGGATTGTGATATATCTTCGTTGTCAATGGAACTTTTACGGCAATTATGTGTGTCCTTCTCCTCTGAGGAGTTCTGCAGAAAAATTGACTTGTATTCATTCGCCAAGCATTTTAGTTCACTTAACTGAATAAAATTAGTTTGAGTTCCCGAAGAAGCGGTTGCCACTCTTTCTATTTTTTGCGAAAATGTTAGGCTATTGTTAAGATCCAAATAATTCAAATCGCGCTTAGGTGCATTGGATGCCTTCTTACTAATATCACGTTGTTCTAGATTTATGGGATTGTGATTTCTCTGAGATATTACTATATTATTCCTAATATTATGTTCTTCTAGATTTTTGGCATTCTTCTGAGCGCTTTGATTATAAGCTTTCATAGCGTTATCCAAACTTCCGAAATTGGAATTTCCAGAAAGTGATGAAGCGCTGTAACTTCTTTTATTATATTTTTGATGATTGATTGACTTTGATGGTTCCATGGAATGTAAAGCCCGATGTAGCTGATTCTTCTTTAATGTACTATAGACTTTCTTTAGAAAAGTTTTATCTTCTAGAATTTTAGGTGATATATCACCAAGGTCCAAATGTAAGGACTCTTCTTGTCCCACTAAAATGCTTTCCGATAAAAGTTTTAGGCGGTCGAGGAGTTCCGTGTGCAAGCCCAAACATGCTGGTTCATTCTTGAGAGTTGACATTTCTGGTCTCTGCGAAGAAGGAGACGATGTTTGATCAGGTCGTGTCGTTTTAGTACCGAGTAACGTTGTTGTTTTATTATATGCATCACGTAATTTAAGATAGGTTTGCAATAGTTCAATAATACGATCTTGATTATTGATATACCTTTGATGACTAGAATGACGCGATAATAATTTTGAACGCCGTTTGGAGCTGAGAGTGGCACCCGGATATGAGGCTTTTCGCCGCCAAAGTACAAATCTTGGTTCCGAAGCACATACACGTTGAAATTGTGCCTCTATTTGGGCTATGTTATCGGGATTACCTTCTGGTATGAGCTTACGACCGGCATCTGCCATATAACGCCATGTTTTTCTCGTTAGGAGCCAGCGTTCTCTTTTTTTCTCTTTAATGCTACTTCGACGTAGTTTGTTTCCAATATATGATGAGTGGGCAACGGATAACGTTGAAGGGGATACTTGCAATGTATCTTCCTTACATAGCTTTTCGAGTGCCTCATCCAAGGGTCGTGATTTTTTTTTTGTAACTGCCACAGGATTTCGCAGATTCGAAAAAACTTTCGAATGCTGTTTGTTTTCTTTATTTTCCATATTATTTTTTTTATATTTTATGAATGTATTCTTATTAGTTATGACAATGTTTTAATTGCAACATCTTTTACTATGTACCAGATATTTTTAATTAAAGTTTTCTATATTTATTTATATTTGTGAACAACTTTTATGACGTTTTTTTTTTATTTAGTTTTAGTTTAATGGTCGGATTTTTTCAACCTTAATCACATTGTAAATGTTTTCATATTTATTAATATTTTATATTAATACAATATTTAAATTTGTATTGAATGAAATTATATATATATGTTGCTATTTATGTTATTAAAATATTTTTTATTCCAATGTTCCAGTTTATATTTCTTTGTATATTATTATTTGAGTATAAACGTTTTTATATTGCTTTTATTTTATTTATTTTATTTTATTTTTGAACCTTTTTCACATTTTAAATATTTTTACTTATTATTTCATATTTATTAATATTTTTGTATATTTTGTATTGTATAATTAAATATATAGTTATTTACGTTATTCAAGTATATTTTTTGTATTTTAATTTGTATGTTTTTATTTATATATAAAATATCTTTAGTATGGCCTTTTTTATTTTTATTTTAATTTTAATTATTTATCTTTAAACAATTCTAAATTAAACATTTTCAGTTTAGTCAGAATACCGATTATATTTCTGAAGTAAAACACATAAGTATTTTTTTATAAATAAATGCCTCACATTCGTTTCTTTAGGTATTTCTTTCTCTTCGATCGTGTATATATGTACATGTACATATATATTGTGGTTATTAAAAATCAGAAATTTATAAAACTTCTTGTAATTTTATGAAGCAATTTAATTTATTTCTTTATTTTTATATTAAAAAAATTTTTATAAACATTTAAACTGTTACGTAGGCATCTCAACATGAGAATATTAGCACGAAGAATAAACGGCAAAAAGCATATACATATTGTAAGCAAAAGAACTGCTTCAAGAAAATATAAATGTGAAGATATTTCGAAAAATATTCAAGAAAAGAATATATTTCAAAATGTATATATGTATGCATATGTATACGAAAATATGCAAGCAGTTTGTTTCTTATATACACAGAAGAATTCTCATTTTCTCGCAACACACATGGAAGACTTTCCTGCTCATTGATTCCTATGCGTTATTATATATATATATATTTATAAATATGTATGATATAAACATATCTTCTGTATTTTACAAATATAAGCACAATTATAAAAACTTATTTTGTCTATATAAATGTTTATGAATACCTACTTGGAGAATTTTGACGTAGTAAAATTACTGCCGAAATAAATACTGTTGTTTGGGAGAGCAGCCTCTAAGTTACTTCCTAACCATTACTAAAAGATACTTACACCAGCGGTCAAGATAATATAAATAGGTGGAAAATATCTTGTGTCATCTCCGCATTAATTCCGAGTTAAGACAATTTGTTATAAAAAACGAAAAAAATAAACCATTGATTCTTATTTATATTATATATATTTTTTTTTAGTTTTTATATTTATTTTGTATGTATGACTATAGGAATTATAATTAATTGTTTGTATCTGTATTGAATATTATTACAAACGCGTTCGTTCCATTCGAATATGTGGTTCTCTGCAATTAGAAAAGCAATATTTGGATAAGTAATAATTAGCTGAATCTTTGTAAACATATTAAGCTATAAATAAAACCAGCTTCAAGTTGGGATTTTATAAATATATACATATGTATATGTATATACATATGTATGTACATATATTGCGTGAATTATCGACATGCTTTCATCTCTAGCGCCATATAGTCAGAAAAAAGGAATCGATTTTCTCCGAGAAAATTTAATTCAGACAAAATATTTATACTCTTGCAGGGTTGCAGTTTGCAACGGAGTGAAGGAGGCACCTCCGACAATATAAAGTATATACATATATTCTTGATCAAGATCAAAAGCCGAGTCGATCTAGTCATGTCCGTCTGTCCGTTTCTACGCAAACTAGTCCCTCAGTTTTAAAAGCTATCTCAATGAAACTTTGTAGTTAGTCTTCTATATACTCTCCCTCGTATATATGTATGTCGGAACGAAACGGATCGAACGACTATATATTTAGTATATATGTGAATGAAATATAATATATATGTATATGTGAATGAAATGAAAGCAGGCATTACTTCATTGTTTTTTAACATAAATATATATAATGTATATTGTCTTAATTCCTAGTGATAGATGTTCTATCTCGAGGGTATATAAACTTTGGCGTGTCGAAGTTAACATTTTTTTTTGTTTTTTTTTTAATATTTACATCTACTTAGAATTGAAGCCATTTTTCATTATTTCGAAGTTTTGGGTTTAATTGTATACAACAATTGAATGATTACATCATATAAATAGCTAGAGAAAAACGCAAAAATTTTAAAACTGTAAATATAAAACGTGTGGGTGACCAAAATTGACCGATCTAATTGCAAACTGCAAAGTAACTTACCCTTAAAACTAATTTGTTTAGATTATTTGAATTTTTATTTTTTCGTTTGTCTAGTTTAGTCATCTCTCCTTAAAAATTGAAATATATAACAACATTTTGACTGATATGAATATAATAATCATTGCGGTATTGTTAGTCCTTATGCCATTCGCAGAACTAGTTTGCATTGCCGCTGGCTGTTCACCTAAAAAAAAAAAAAAACAATAATAATTGAAACATGTACTTACATACATATATACTATTTAATATTTACCTGTCAATACGTGAACCCTAACTGAAGCTGGTATAGCCCCATTTGGAACGCAAGTATAATTCCCCGAGTCCTTTAAGGAAGCTCGCGTCAACATCAAGCGACTTGTTGTTCCAATATCTGTTTTTTCTGTCTCCAAGCTAATGCCACCGCGAAGGGAATCAAAATCGACAATGGATGATCCATGGTACCTGTAAAATATATTTTTTTATGTATCTTTATCTTTATTAAGTATCATCCATATCATATCTTTATTAAGTAAGTATCAACAGACTACATTTCTCCAGCGATCTGACTTTGAATAATGGAATTCAAACTATCAACGTCCTTAATCTCGCTCCTAGTATTGTCCGTTCACTAATCCAATCATGATTTTTATAATTTTGGGCAATGCCTGGAGAACTTTGTTGATGAGTAAACCTTCGATGACTTGAATTCGAAAAGTTTGCATCAACAAAAATATCTGTCATTGCCAAGCGCCAACAGTTGTCTTAAAAATTCAGCAGCACGTGTAAAGTGACTCTCAAGTTCGTGGTCAATTTCAATTTGCCACCACAAGGACGATTTTAGGTACGCATTCACCTCATCGGCTGCCGTAGATTACAGAATGTGTTTGACGCGATTCACGTTTAAGTTTACAGATTGGCTTCTTTTAATAAAATTTCGTCTATTGTGAGGTTGCGTATTTGCAGGGAGAATCTGTGCATTTTAGGCCCGCCTTAATGCATTTTGTTCGACACGTTCATCGTGTGTTTGATTATTATTATTTACTGGCCGATATTTGATCGCCTAATAGCAGACAGAAAAAAAAACTTGGTAAGTTTTCTCTCTAATGTTAACGAAACGTAAGTTTTCAGCATCTGTTGAACCTCTAAAGAATTTTCAGGAAGGTTTTCCAACTGATGTGAAAATAACACAAATGTACACCATTTTTATATATGTTTTTATACATATGTGCCACTCACATACGGTTGTAGTTGTGTAATTACCTACATTCAAAATATCATAAGTTGCAACGCTAAGGGGCTATAAGGTCAAAACACATTTTTTAAAGATAGAGCCATATAGGCTTTACATTGAATGGACAAATGATCATATTCATATTGAATACTTTTTTAAATCATACCATAATACTGATGATGCATGTGTGTTCACTGAACACGCCAAAGCAATGGTGCTATCACGCTTTACGTGAATTTCCGTCGAACCCAGGATTTTTGCACGAGCAGCTTTTAAAGTTAAATTAAATTAATACAATAGAATTTAAAAATTTATTAAGAGGAGAATGCACCTTTTGAATCGTAATACCGTCTATCCGTTTTAATGTTTTGAAATTCATTATCTGCAAAAATTAAAATAAAAATTTTTATATGTATATATTTATGACAGATTTTGTATTCTCTTAAATGTACTAATAGATTTTTAAATGTTAGAAGAAGAAGAAAAGCTTATATATTGCACCACCAAAGTTTGTATATTGCACTTTAAAATTAGATCGTTGAGAAACTGTCGTTTCATTTTCACAATAACTCAAATTGGTGTATTCTGAACGTTCCTTCTGCGATCAGGGATTCCTTCGATACCCACGTTAGTGTAAATGGCCTATTATTTGTGAAACAAATTTGTATGCAGTTAATTCTTACCTGTAATTTCCAAGAAAACAGCTAAATTAATTTTTGGCTCGGTATTCACTTGACACTCATAAACACCGCTATCGCGTGGCTGGGCGTAATCAATTTTTAAATCCCAATCTTCACTGCTTGGTGGATGTATAACTGAAAATCGTTGATCTCCAGTATATGTATATATATTGGTTGTCAGAATGTGAAGATCTCGCTTACGCATCCATGATACCTAAAGAACAAAATTCTGTTTTTAGATGGGCTTGTGAATATATTTTCAATAGTTACTATTATCATTTCAGTCAGAAGTTTGCAATGCAGTGAATGAGTCATCTACGCCCTTATAAAGAATATATTTTCTTCATCAGGATCAATAGCCGAGCTAATGTGGCCATGTACACTTAGCCGCATATCTCTGCGTACACCCCAATAAAAATTGAAATTCAAACTTTTAACACAAGTTGTTCACTTAATTATTAACATTTTAGAAAATTTTTTCTAACATACTCTTTATTAAACTGTCTTCAATGACATATTTTTTAGAATTATGAAACAATGCTTTATATTTTATTTTTAATTTTAAACTTAACACTGTAAAAAAATGCCCCCGCAAAAGTCTGCGTACAGCTAACAAAAAACTATTTGAATTTAATAGTATACTTATTTTAATATCTGGTATGGTATCCATTTCTGTGTACAATCTCCGTAAGGCGTCTCGGCATGGAATCCACAAGATTTTTTGGTTCCTCGCCTGTAAATTTGATCGTTTCCCCCACAATGACATCCTTAAGCATTTTTTCGACGTTATTGTATGTTTCCGGATCTTCCGCTCCAAAAGATGCCACAAATGCTCAATTGGGTTAAGATCTGGACTCTTTGGAGGTACTTGCGACTGATTTTTAACTTTTAATAGAAAGTAAAGCTTTGTATTGTGTGCCGTGTGCTTCGAATCATTGTCCTGTTAAAAATCATCAAAGTGCCGACTGCGACTTATACCGAGACAACGCTTTCAGTCGGCAATTTATATTGATAAATTCTCTGGGACTCTCCCTTTCGCAATAATAAAAATATATTTTTTCAAAATGAACACTAAAATAAGAACTTTTAAATAGGGGTACAAATTAATTTATTTGCCTCCAAATATTTAAAATTTTTGTTCTTGCTCTTGCTGCATTTTTGAAGACCCTAAATAAAGTGCAACAACAAATTGTCAATGTATAAAATTAAAAACGAAGAAAAAAAACAAGATAGAAAGCTGATGTTTATATACTCTTGCATAAATAATATATACAATATAAAATTTGTGTTAAAAATCAAGGAAATAATTCCTACCTTAATAATAGTCACCTATAATTACTATGCTTACAGTTTCACATTCACAGTTTGCCATTTTTCACCACATTTAACGATAGTTTCTATTGCAGCTATTTGTTATAGTCTCCTGATTTTCATAATTTAAATCGAAAATCAAATAATATAAAATGGCTATGTGTCAAAATTGAGAGACTAGTTTGCGTAGAAACGGACAGACAAGGGCAAGGCTATATCGACTCGGCTGTTGATGCTGATCAATGACATATATACTTTATATTGTCGGAAATGACTTCTTCACTGCGTTGGAAACTTCTGACTAAAATTATAATACTCTGCAGGGGTATAAAAAGGAAATGTGAAGTCTATTGCTCGCGATCGTGACACATGACTCAAGGGTAAGAGGAACTGCCTAATAAACAGGCGAGAGCAAGTTCTTTTTTAAATTTTTTCAATTTTCATTTTATTTTTCAATTAAATCTAATAATAAACAATATTGCCAATTATTTTATAGTTCGCTAAGAGCGACTAAGCAAATTAGGGTGCAGAAATTAAAATAAATCAATTAATAAATAAGAAAATGTTATTGCTGTTATACATTTTATGCTTGAAACATTATGTAACAATTTCCAAATTCAATATTAGTTTTACATTTTCTTAAACAAAAGGTATTATTTGTGATTACTTTTTAAAATTATATTATTAAGAAAATGTTTTTTCTAAAGAATTTGGCAAACTCTTGAATATATAAAATTAAATTCTTAAACTTTGATGCGAAAAACCCCGGAAATAAAACGGCAGTTACCTGATCATATTTTCCCGTAGTATTTTCAAATGAAAGCAAAGAAGGATTTGTTTTAGGCTTACCGTATTGTTAACAAAGTTATAAAACTTTTTTGGTTTCTGTGAGAACTGGACCCTGCAACAAGTCAAATAGTTTTCGTGTTCAGCGCAGTTTGAAAATCTCCTAGGACTACCAAATGGTTTTTAGCCGAAAGTCTATTGAAAACCATCTGAATATAGGCAAGGAAGATCCAATATATAGGAAATTTCAATAATGGAGGAATGCTGAAATGGAGAATTAACAGGCACACTCGGCCACCATATTTGATTTCTTAGCGCTCGATTTAAACATTCCCGGTGCCCGTACCGGGTTGTTGGGATCCGCGTACATGCTGCCCACCAACTGTTTTTTTTTTTACATGGGAGGCTATTGGCTAACCAGCGCCAAGAAAATATCGAGTTTTACAAAAAACTCGATAATACATATGTACTTAAAACCACGACAAAACGACAGGCCTCGCAGCAGTAAAGCAGGCCGATGTTTTTTCTAACACCGTTCACCGTCCAACCTGCAACACCAATGCACTTGGCGGAAAGACGTTGAATTGTAATCCGGCCCGTTCCGAATTATATACGACTGATAGTATATAGGGACTAACTAAAAAGTTTCATTCATATAGCTTGCAAACTCAGAGTAGTTTGTGTAGAAACGGACAGACAGATGGACACACGGACGGACCGACAGACATGGCTAGATCGACTCGCCTGCTAATCCTGATCAAGAATATACAGTGGCGGGCAAAATTGAGTGTATGTTCATAACTCTGACTTTGGCCATCACTAAAAACGCAACCACACAAGCAAAGCCAACAATTTGCTCAATCGCTCATGTTTTTGGGAACTGATTCGTACTGCCCAAGCTGTCGTTTAATCCAATAGTATTGTTTTCCATCGCTTTGGAAACGTTTAAATTTCGACTCATCAGACCAGACAATTCGTTTCTAATCTTCAGTAGTTCAATTTCTGTGGTTTTTAGCAAATTTTAAGCGAGCATGTACATTAATTCAGGCTTATTTTTCTTCAGCTCGACATATATCTGATGTCCTGCAATACCTTTTTAGCTCTCCATTCGCTGACGTTTTTGTTTACGGCCAGACAATCACACTTTGGTGTTAAAATCTTGTTCCTTGTGCATTTTGGACTTCATTAGACGAGCATCTGAGTACTTTATTATTTTTTGCCGGTCTGTGACTTGAGGCTTGTGGCTAAGCGTTCGCCTCTTTTGAATGGATTGGTAAAATTCCAAGCCTCTCGGCAATTTTACGAGTAAACTGGCACTTTCAGTCAGACTCAGGACATTATGTTCAATTTCCCGACGATTTTCGCATTTCTTGGCCTTTATCAATAAAATGTTCTCATTATTCATCGACAACAGCTTTTCTGTTTTGTTAGTTTAGTTTAACACGGTTTAAACTAATCACGACCAGCAAAAGAGATCTTAAAAGCAAAGATAGGCACAAAACATAAAACGTGCAAAATTGAGTTAATGTGGGTTTATCTTGTTTTCTTATTCTAGGTATTTGAATTTATATGATATGTTGTTGATTCTTTCCTTAAATAGTAATAAAACCAGTAAAAACAAGAAAGGAAGCTATCTTCGGCACGCCGAAGTTCATATACCTTGCTAGATAGAACTTCGATGTCAAGGAATCAATACAATATAAATTATATATATTAATGTTACAGTTTTACATACACAGATTTGCATTTTTCCTCTATATCTAACGATCGTTCCTATGGGAGCTACATGAAATAGTAGTCCGATTTTAATAAAATGTTTAAAAAAAATTTAAAGTAATACAAATGGCTGTATCTCGAATTTAATTAGATTCTGTTGAAAACTGAAAAGGTTAAAATTTTTAGCTGTATTAATTTCTCGATCGTTCCTATAGGAGCTATTGGATATAGTAGTCCGATTTTCATAAAATTGTACACAAAATTGTAAAGTAATATAAAATGGCTATATCTTAAATTTGATCAAATTTTGTTGAAAACTGAATATATCATAATTTTTTTTGTTTCAATTTTGCGATCATTCTTGAACGAAATCCCTTAATATTGTATTTAACTCTAACAATGTTATCAGAAGACCTGTATGATTCTGTCTACGCTCTTAAGTACTAAAATGTATTTTTAGTCAATATCGGTAAAATATGAGAAAAAACTATAATCCTGTTTTATTAAAATGCGAATTTTTAAGCACAGTTTTTCTCGACCATTTGTCCCGCGCTCTATCTCTCTCTTTGGTCTAAAATGTCATTTATCGCTCCGCGTAACATGCTTAACCGGGGAAATCCTTATCATTAAGGGCATCTTCCTTTTAACAACTCTAGAGGGAAATACAGGTAAGCGGGCAAACGGACATGGCTAGATCAAAAACAATAGAACTACTGAGATGAGTAACGGCCATACATTCGTTTTGCAATATGGGGTTAGATTTTTTGATGGCAACGACAATCGCGCTTGTGTATGAGTGAAAAAAACCCTGCAGCTCCACATGTCATCAATAGGCCACTGTCATCAACAATTCATCAACGTGCTGACCCTTAACCCTATTGCCCTTTCTTTACATGAATTTGGAACGAGATCGCCAGCTTGGGATATTGATTATACATTAATCGAGAGCGGGACTGTCACTAACGGACCGCCACTTATTGATTTTAAGAATTTGTGTGTTTATTAGAGATAGCCACTTGTTGGTTTCAAGAATTAATTGTGTTAATTGAGATAGGGTATATAGGTATATGTCACTGCCCTGCAGTACCACATGTCATCAATAGGCCACTTTCATCAACAATTCATTAATGAGCCGACTGCGACTTCGACCGATTCGACGCTCTGCCCATGATACAATTACGAAGGTAGTCGTCGGCAGTATCATTGCTCGGCCGATGATGAATTGTTTATGAATGCTAAATGTTGAGGTTGATGACAGCCTAGGACATGCCCATGTTAAATTCATCAGTAATTTGAATGGACATTAATCGATGAATCATCAACAACACCGCCTTGACTGTTGATGAATCTATGATGAATTACTGATGAATATGTGACTATATATATATATCTAACTGGCAAAACGTGAAAGAAAGTTCAAATTGTGAAATTGCAATTTTCACGTGAGCATATACAATTAACAGCGAATTTTATTTTTCCAGTGCAATAAAAAGGCCAAAAATTGGTGAATCATTGATGAATTGTTGATGAATAATCAATTAATTGTTGTTGATGACAGTCTAGGACATGACCGTGATAAATTCATCAGTAATTTGTATGGACATTCATCGATGATTCATCAACAACATCGCCTTGACAGTTGATGAATTATGTGTTCCTAAATTCTTCTGTTTGCAAGCGCAAGCCCCAAAAATTGAAATCGATGTCTTTGCATATTTTTCACACTTCGCATGCTTAATACCACAATGTTCCTTTGTAATGTATTATTATATATGTATTTATTTCTGGTAATTACTTTTAAATGTTCTATATTCAAATAATTATCATATAAAATATTCGTTTTTTAAAAAGAACTAGAAACTTATAAAGTGATGGTTATATTATGATCAATGAGAATACGCCTCTTATCTCTGGCCCAGAAACCGATCAGAAACCTATTGATCTGCAGATCAACGGTGGCTTTTGAACTCACTGGCTTTTAAACAAAATGTAAGAGAGCCTGAAGCCAGTTCAAAAACCAGCACGAAAAAATAATGTGCAAACAAATCAATTGGCGTTACTTATATTAATAATTGTATTGTTTTTGGCTAGATCGTTTCGGCTGTTGATCGGGATAATACATAAATACATATGTCTTGTTCTTTCTAGGGTATTGACAAACTTCTGACTAAAATTTTAGTACTGCTGCAAAGGTATAAAAAAACTTACCGTGCGGTTTCCCTTGTTTTTAACACGACATCTTAAAATAGCAATTTCGTCAATGACAGCTGAAACATTTCTGGGGCTTATATCATCAAAAAAAGGACGATCCGAATTGGCCAAATCTAAATAATAATGTATATTAAATTGGAAAAAATTATTGTGTACATACATATGTATGTACACACATATGTGTTAAAGCTTACCGTTCAGATTTAAATATGTAGAAGCATTGATATGATGAAGGCATATGTTGAAATTTAATATCAAAAAATTAATGGCTTGATTTTACTAATAGAATTATAAGTCGAATATGTATTATTTTTGTCAACTGTCGTCATATTGCTTTTAGTACAAAAATCATTGTTTATTATCCAAAATGTAGCGGTTTATTTTGTATAGCTGTCCATGTATATATTAATCATGGTTAACACAAACACTAATGTTGGTAACACAATCGGTTTTATAAATATTCGCTTGCCCACTGAATATTTTAAATATAATATGTGAAAACTCGTTGTGCGGCATAAGGGTAGGGCTAACAGACGTTCTTCATTTCTGAAAATATACTTCGCTTAGGATAATTTATATTCTTTTTAGATACAATATATATCAGCTTAGTAGATGTCGAAAACGTTTTTTTTTTTTCTCAACATTAAGCTTACTTCAACCCCTATAAATTCTTGAATAAAAGGGAGCTTTTTATGGAGAACTTAAAGTTGTCATTGCAGCCCTGAAGACGTATCTGCGCATGCCCAAAAAAGTCTACTTGCCTATAAAACTTATATTCTTAAGCTTGTTTTTTGTTTTTATAATTTTTTTGTTAAAACTTATGACTCTAAAACTCGTCTGAGAAGTAAAAGAAAAATACACATGCGGTATTTTAACATGTGAATTCAAGAACATTATGAACGGCTTTATACCCTTGCATGGTATTATAATTTTAAAAGTTTGCTAAGCAGTGAAGGAGTCATTCCTACCCTAAAAAGAGTATACATTCTTTATCAGCATAAACAGCTGATTTGATCTAACCACGTCAGTCTGTCCTATTCTACGCCAACTAGTCTATCAGTTTTAAAGTTACCTGGATGAAACTCTTTAATACACATATGTATACAATACACTCTGTCGTATATAAGTCGGAACGGGACGGATCGGAAAAATTATAACTTTTTCAGTTTTTGACATATTTTTATCAAATTTGGGATATAGCCATTTAATATTATTTTACAATTTTGTGTAAAATTTTATAAATATCGGACTACTTTATTATATAGCTGCCATAGGAACAATCGAGAAATTGATATAATTAAAAATAATAACTCTTTCAGTTTTCAACAGATTTTTATCAAGTTGGAGAAATAGCCATTTTATATTATTCTACAATGTTGAGTAAAATTGTTTAAAAATCGCACTACTATAAAGCTGCCAAACAAACGATCGTTTGATATGGAGGAAAATGCAAAACTGTGAATGTAAACTCTAAATATAATATGTATAGGTTAAGGAAATAAAAGCAGGCATTACTTCATTTTTTTTTTTTTTTTTTTTGAACATACGTATATATAATTTATATTGTATAAATTCCTAGTCATCGAAGTTTTATCTGCAAGGATAAATAAACTTCGGCGTGCCGAAGTTAGCTTCCTTTCTTGATTGATTTGGGGTAGAGTAAAGTGCGAAATGGAACTTTTATGTGGGTTTGGTGGAAGTTTTAATCATTGAAGTTTTAGACAAGAAAAAATAAGACAATAAGATAAGCTATCACACAATTAGTATTGTCAAATTGTCTATAAATCGCATAACCGATTGGGTACCGGGTATCTCAAAATCGAGTGTACTCGACTCCGATTTTCTTATGTTTTGAACATTCTGAAGGTGTTAAAAAAAAACAAAGTATATTTCGATGTAGTATCATTTATATTATTTTTACAGATCCCAAAACAAACAAACACAATAAATATAAGTACATTAAGAACATGTTTATGGTAATATGTCGCAAATCGTTAGGTAAATCGTCGACGTCTTGCCTTTACGTCAATATGTCCTTAAAAATCCGAATATGGCACTTCAGTATACGGTAAATTTCTAGACAGAGTTGCCGGCGGGATAAATGGACTAGAATAGGTCTGTTGATGTTGCTTGCTTTGCACTTCGCCCCAACCTTTGGCCAATTTATTAAAAGATTGACCCTGGTGCGATTGTTTTTGGCAGGGAACATAGCTAAGTTGATGAGGTTGCGGTGAAGTTCCTCCAATTGGGCTATTCCAACTAATGGGTGACCTAGATAGGTTTTCATTGAAAGAGGTGCATTTTGGGGTGCCAAATGGTATAGGAGATGCATTCTGCACTTGCGTCTTTTGGCGAATATTTAAGTGCTGTTGCTGGCTATGGTTATCAGGGAGATTTTCATACCGCGACAGTTTCTCAAAGGATAATGGCGAAGGATTAAAGTTGACCTGTGGCGCAATATTATTTATGGGCTGCGGAGAAAATGAATGCTGTTGTTTCGGCACTGACGTCGTGTACCCCAAAGGATTAGAGTTGGGTAGTGGAAATCTTCCATTTGAGGACTGCGTGTCAGGTGAAGTTCCAAAATTTGATTTTGGCAAAGGTCGAAATGTGGATTCGTTTGTTTGAGATGCAGCAAATGACAGTTGCTTTTGTGGTGGTGGAACGTAGCTTGATAGAGATATTTCCTTTGGTACATATAAACCTGTAGATTAATCAATTAAAATATTAATTTGCATTATTTTAAGTTTAAGTATGTATTTAAAGTAAGATAATATAAGTAAGTATACTGCGGTCCACTGAGAACTATAAAACAAAACATATCAGGCTCATTAAACATGTACACATAAATATGTGAATGTGCGTGCTTTACAACAACATATACATATATTAATTTGCAGGATGAAGTTTACAATAACTTGAGTTACCAATTGGTATCAAAGGAAATGCAAGAACGCAGATTTACAATGAGTTTAATAGTTTGTTGTGGAGTTGGTAGTAATTATATTAAACGCAACCTTGTTCCCAATACTAGGCCCATATAAACACATATCATCCACATTTAACTCTTGCCTTCATTTATGTTAATTGCTTCTTCATCGTTCGAACTATTTTTGAACGTTTCCATAATTGACTGTTGCTCAAAGGATTGTATCAACTCGCGTACATTCAGTTTGTCATCTACATCTATATATTTTTACTCAGTTTATCAGGCAATTTTTGCTGTTGTTCCAAAAAGAACGTTTGAAATTGTTCAAGTCGGTTTAATCGTTTTTCAATTTCATTCGTAAAATTGATAGGTAATCCTTTGCCCTTTGCGTATACAGCATTCATATTTTCGCGGTCATACCTTAGGCAGCAAAAGTCACAACTCTGGCAAGGAAGCTCATTTACTTCATTTGCTTCACAACATTCTGAAAATGTTTCAGGAGTAATTATGAGATGTTAATTAAAACATACTACGTATCAACTTTTAGTGGCTAATTAAATTACATCATCCCAATTTATTGCAACGTATCACATGTCAAATGTAGGTTTTTCCTTTGCAACATTTACATTATTTGGGGAGCAAATAATCTGATTTGTCTTATGTTTAAATGACGGTTTCTATCAATAATTACGTATATATAAAAGGACGCACGAAAAAAAATTTCCGTGTTTTGACGCCTATCGCAACAGATCAATGAGCACTAGATAATTATTTGGCGACCCCAAACAAAACATTATTTTAGGATTAAGAAAAATTAGAGGAGGCACTTACGAAATATCGTCATCTAATTTAATACTGCAGTGGTATTCCACAATTTAATGTATGTTATTATTTCGAATTATTCTAAACAAACACTAAATTAAATACCAACCTTTTGGTAATTCAACATTACGACCTCCCCAGCCTTGGGCAACGCTTGGAGTATAAGCCAACACTCTTTGCGGATTGAAGGGTGTTGGTGCAGGGCTCTTCTGCAAGAAACAAATGTGTTATGTAAAATTTGATTAATATTTTGTATACTAACATTTCTACAGAGTTCCTCTCTATGATGTTGTTGGTTGTTCTTTAATCCAAGATCATGAGAAGGCTTTACTGCTGCATCCGTCAAGTCCCTGGACGCGCTTTGTCGATGATACATCGTTGGCGATGACACTGTGGGACATCGACCTTGGTCTGGGGACTCCTCCAAAAATGCGGAACTGGCAGAGCCAGTCTGTAGAGCAGCTTCCCATGGCGACTTGACTACCTGCACACCGCCCTTTGAATACTTTTCGATTAACTGATTTTGATGCAAATTTAATTGAACGCGGTGTTTGCCAGCATCTGAATATGCTGGCACAATGTTTGGCGATATTGCCTTTGGCCGTGGTTGATATTGCTGGTAATCTGGAATACCAGATGGTAGACTTTGAGTTCCAGCATTCGTTTCATCGACAATCCAATTATCGGCTTTTTTGCGTCGCTTTGCAAACAGTTCGGCGCCTATCAAAAAGTGAGCGAAATGATGGTTGCGGCGGCGCGACGGCAATAAGCATAGCAAATGAATTTTAAAAGACAATTATATTAATACGTTTAGCAGAAATTTAATTTTTATATTTGAACAAAATTCCATTAGCACGTAGATAATAAAATAAATCAAATTTGTCCATAGTAGATCTGTAAAAAAATCGATTCTCAGCGTATACATTTTTTGTGTGTTTTTTAAAAGTAAAATTCGATGAGTCAAACAGTTGGGATTTTCGACAGATGTAAAACTATGATTCCCACAGATCTCCATCCATTTTCCACCAGTCGATAACAGCTTATCAAACAGTTGTGGGTTTTTATGAAATAGTACCAATCTAGACAATTTGGACAAGAATATACCGGAAAACATCGAATAGTTTTTTGAATATACTCTAAACTTTGCCGCTTTCTATATTTTAATTTTAATTGTTCCTTACAATCCTTGTAAATTTTTTTTAAGTGAATGATTAAATTTTTACTGACATGAACAATTCTGAGTTGCCAACATTGTTAAAACAAGTTCATGAAATATAATAAGAAGCGAAACTATCTTCGGCACGCTGAAAGTCGTATACCCATGCAGGTTGCAGTTTGATCATTATTAATTATTACAATTTAATAATATATTTGTGTTAAACAAAAAAGAACTCTATCTGCTGCACGCCTAAATTTGTATATTCTTGCAGATTTTAATTATGTGATTAATATTTCATACTAAATTAAATTAATTCAATTATACATTTTTATTTAAGAACAATACACAGTTTAACATTCACAATAGTCGTACGATTTTCATAAAATGAAACCCGGAGTTCAAAAAAACTTTTAATAATAATAATAATAAGCGATAATTTTTAAAGGAAAATGAATTTTCATTCAATTTCAGATAAAGCCGTTTTAATTTCATGGAAATCAGATTACTTCATTATGTAACATTTATTGGAACGTTGTAAAATTTAATTTAAAAAAACTTAATCATCTACTCAGAGAGGTACACTTTTTATTATTTCAGAGTTTCGGTTTTAATTTTATATAGTAATCGGATGAATATATTATATAGCTGACATAGGAAATACCGCCAAATACAAAGAAAAATTATAAACCTTGTATGTAGAACTGCAACTGTAGATACATTTTAAAGTCGATCTTTTGATTATATGTATAAATTGTCTACATAATTCTAGTTAGTTTCATTTGATCAAATTGGGTTTATTCCTAATGATCCCATTATAAACTGCCAGGGTATATAAACTTTTTTGTGTTGATCGAATTATCTATGCATTTATATGTATGCAAGCCCTAAAATTTTACTTTACTACCTATGCATAAAGATTTTATATAAGTAACAATTAGTTGCTGATTAACATAGCGGAACTTTCTTTGTCCCCAAGCTATAATCATTCCGCCATAATTATAAACGTACGGGAGTAGCTTTGCGATCCTTGCATAACAACATGAAATAACAATGCTGAAAACTCTAAAATGGAACCTGAGCCAAATATATGAATCACAAGTAATCATTATTTTAGAGTTTAATTTGTTGTTGATTTAAATAAATAATTATTTTTAAATTTTTATTTATTTCTTATTTTCAAAACCAATGATAATTTTTAAAAGTCAAAGAAACTAAGGAGATCAATTCATCATTTTATCATTTTTTTCAAAACGAAATCGATGCTGACATCGATTTTGCCGAGCTCTCCTTATACTGTTTGTTATTTGTTTTAATTTGTATAAAATCAGATTTAAAAATTAAATTCGTAATGGAATTTTGTGTTATAAATATTTTACCTCGTCCTTGGTGAAGTTGCAATGCATTTATTAGCTCAGCGCAGTTGTCAGGCGATAAAAGGCCAGTTTCAACATTAATTAACTCTTTAAGCGAATTATAATCCCGAACTTGGCCCTTCGGATTCATTACAAGCTTAAGCGGCATTTTCTCCAACTTTGTTGTTGCTTCAAATAATGATGGGGACTTTCTTTCGCAATTGGCTTAATATAAAAAAATAACATATGCAATTATTGCTTGAATGCATCAATATGTTATTACATCCTTAAACTAAATGAAAAAAATCAATCAATCAATGAAAGGTCTCAAAATCGGGTACATTGCAATTAAAAAAAAAAAAATAGTTCATTATTCTGTCGTATAAATTTAAAACCATAACCACAAAATGTTGAATTCACTACAAATTTGTCTACATTTTATTTTAAAAATCACTTAATTATTTAAGTAAAGCTTTAGTTAATATTGGTTCATTCGTTTATATATATGTAGTTATTTTTGTTATATTTTTACAACAAACAAGAATTTTCGTGATATAATTGCCAATAAATTTCCCTCTTCAATTTACGTCAGATCTTTTGGACAAGAACTCATCTTAAACATGAATCCATGTTTCTCCCATTCTCGACGAGCAAAAAATGTCCCACTTAATTTTCAACTAAAAACTAGTCTCCAGACCTAGATATACCTATTGTTTTCTCTGGTATAATATTTAATTATTTTAAACTGGTGGACCTATAAATTTTCACCTTCAAACGTTGATTTATATAAAATCTGTACCCACAATGGCTTTAAAGTCATTAAGGCGAATTGCTCGAAAGAGCAATTTATATGGAAAAATAAATTAATGTTGATTTAAAAAAAAATGTACAAAAATATCATCAATAACATTTAAAATGTAAAAAAAAGTTGTAATATTCTCATATAAAATGGAGCGATAGTGCTCAAAGCAAGAAATATTGTGGTTTTCATATAATATATATATATATAATAGGTATTAAATAAGAAAATATATTTTTCAATTATTAATATTATTATAAAATTTTAAATTCCTTTTTTTTATACGAAATGTAGGAAATGATATTCATTAAATATAGGAATACACAATATTCCTCCTCGTGAATTGTCTATAATAGTTTGGGAACAGTGTCAGTCCAATATATATATTTAAAGAGTAAAACAACTAATTAATTAGGATAAACGGGTGTAATAATTTATACCATTACTATAATGAATAGTAAAAACATGCTTTCAAAAAAAGACTATTACCTTGACCACCTTCATGTACCCATTTAACAGAGCGTTTTTTTCGATTGACATACATTGATTGACCCTTAGATGTTTGGTTCGAGATATCGCTTAACGAATGCGATATTCTCCGGGCTAGCTCAACCTGGTCTTCCACAGTGGGGTGTAGTGTTGGAGAATAAAATGCGGACGAGGCATATAGCTTTCCTATTCGAAACAAGGTTCAAAGTATTGATGAAATAAGGTTTATTGCAATATTGCATAGGCACAAAAAAAGGTGATAGGTAACAAGTTATTTTTGTTAAAAAAGCGCTCATATTAGTTGAGTCATGGAACAGCGTTATATATGTAGGTCTTACGTAGCACCTTTTTTTAATATAAACCGAATAAAGACATCTTACTTACGGTTCTTCGGTAATATTTCAGGAGTATCGGTCGCTGGTGTAAATATTTTGCGCAAATCAATATTTGTCTTCGATATATTTGCGGGTTCCTAAGTAAAAAAATCTAACTGTTTTTACAAAGTTCAACTAGAGTGGGTCTACTGTTTTCATTATAAATTACATTTTTTTTTTGCCACAATTGTTTACCAAGCTCTACTAGAATATCTCGTTTTTGCCTATCGTAAAGATCACTTGGTCTATATCCTCGCCTCTTCTCCACTATGCAGTTCATTTTTTCAATTCACTATATTCAAGTAATATTCAATGAATTTTAAAGAAATATACACAAGAGTCAGTACGGAATTCTAAATTAAAGCAGCCTTAACGTTTAACATACGCCTCACACTATGCTCTCTGCGATGCTAAATATAGAAATTTTGTATTTTGAAAAATACGTATGTATGTTTATAAGGCACATACAAATGTTTAGAGCGACCAACACACTCATGTATATATTTGTTTTTGTCCGCCTTCAGATAAGGTATACATATATGTAGATAAATAAACATGTATTTGGTATGGATAGTGCTGAAGTGCTGCCAGTATCTCCGAGCCAAAATAATATACATTTGGAAAAACATGCTGCACTAAACTTAAACAAAATGTGTATAACTTGATTAAAAAATACAATAAAACAAAGTATATAAAATTCAAATAATTAAAAAGTCGGTTTGCAATGAATCTAACCTTGTTAGAAACGGTTTCAGTTGCGATTGATTTCGTGTCCTCAAAAAAAAAAAACACCCAAAAATGTTATTATTCTACGCAAACTGTCTCTCAGTTTTGAAGCTATCTGATGAAACTTTGAAGTTAGTCTTCTAATTACTCTCACTCTTACATATATATGTATAACGGAACGGGCCGGATCGGACGACTATATCATTATAGCTGCAATAGAAACAGAATGCCCAGAATGAACCGATACTTAATGAACCTATTGAAAACATGACTTGGATTAACTCGGCTAGCAACGGAAAGAAATTAAGCTAATTTCGGCACGCCGAAGTTTACAAACCCTTGCAGATAGAACTTCGATCACTACGAATAAATATAACCTTATAAATATTTATTTTCAAAAATAATGAAGTTATTTCTTGTTTCTATTTATTCACCTATAAATATTATATTAACAGTTTTACATTTTTGTATGGCATCTACACAAAACAGCTATATCTTAAATTATATGGAAATCTGTTGAAAAATGAAAAAGTTATTTAATTTACCGATCCGGCCGGTTCCGACACAAATAATTGTGAAATTATATAGACTAACTACAAAGTTTCATTTTGATCGCTTTAAAACTGAGAGACTAGTTTGCCAAGAAACGGACAGACGGACATTGCTAGATCAACTCGGCTGTTGATGTTGATCAAGAATATATATACTTTATATGGTCGGAGATTACTCCCTCACTGCTTTGCAAACTTCTGACTGAAATTATAATAGACCACTTAAAAGCTGAGGGTTGCTAGAACGACGGCTTTTGAAGAATATAAATATTTATATATATGTATTTTATAGGGTCGGAAATGACTCCTTCCATCCAATTTATTTTCCAAGTAGTATCACTGGTAAAACATTGTTAATGAAAATGGACTTAACTGAACGGAGTGCATGGCCTAGAAAGAGAATTTCTCAATCCAAGATTGTATCATGATACTTCAAGCAAAATTAAGTATTTAAATTACAATAGTTTAGTTTGTGCTTGTTTTTGGCGGTGATGATTGTTTGATAGCCCGAAAATCGGTTACAATTGTCCTATAAACGCTGCCTAGGGAAGATAAGTTTAAAATTTAAACATAGTTCAGTTGGCTGCGATCCGTAATACTAACTGCTTCTGCAATTTGGCCACGCACTTAAATTTTTCTTTGAGAAAGAAAAAATAATCAGTATACTGTTACCTTTATGTGCCATGTAAGAAAATGGAGTCAAAAACCAATATATCTGTAAAAGTTAACAGCCTTATAATAATTACTTTACCTGGGATTGTGTAGTAATTGGCTGAAATGGAGGATCACTGTGGTGGAATCGTTGGGACTCGATTTCAGATTTACTTTTAGCTTTCCATTGATTTGGTTGTTGCTTTGCTCTGTTTTGATCACTTAACTGCTGAGCCAAGAGCTGTTGCTGATGAATTTGACTTGCCAATTCGTTTTGCTTTTGAATCAACTTCAGTTCTTGCTCTTTCAGCTGGGTTATTTTTTCCTGGGCTTTTATATTAATATCTATGTCCGAAATTATTTCTTTAATTTGGTTGTTAAAATCTTTCTGAAATTAAAAAATAATAAAAAATAAAGCAACATATTTATAATTTTATGTGAATTGAAGGTATAAATAAATTATCGATCGTTATATATTAAACGAAAATTCCTCTTTAAGCGGTGGGAAAAAGTAACAGCTCAAAGTTTCTGATACTATGAAATAGATTATTGCAAAACATCAACAGCCATTTAGCAATCCAGAAATTTTCCGCCTAACGTATCTACGCAAACTACAAGGTCTAACAGTCAAACAGTTTTGGATCCATCTGAATAAAACTACTGACGATAGTTTTCCTTCCACTCTCATATTTTTTTGTGATTTTTTTTTCTTTTTAATATTTATTTTTACCTTTCCCATATTTATTTTGACTTATAATAGAAAAGAAAGAAAGTCTAGTTTGCGTATGTATATACCCTTTCAAAGGGAATAAAATATCGTACCTGATCTGAAGACTTCACTTCACTTCCAATCGTTTGTGCGTTGGAAAAATCGGATTGAACAGGAATGTGTTCTTCCTGCTTCGAAACCTTTAAAATTTAAAAAAGTAAGTTCATAAATTTATAAACTGATATTTACCGAGCATATGAATACCACAGTGAACCCAAAAATGGTCAAATAATGCTAAATATGCCATGCTTTCGTAATTTTTTTCCGACGACACAGTTTAAAATGTATTTATTTAACGAATGGTACATTAAAAGATAACATTCGAAGAATGCCTTATAAAATTTGTTTAAAGCAATATTCAACAAGAAAGCTAACTTCGGCACGCCGAAGTTTATATACCCTTGCAGATAGAAATTCGATGACTAGGAATCCATACAATATAAATTATATATATTTATGTTAAAAAACAATGAAGTAATACCTGCTTTCATTTCATTCATATATTCATATTTCAGTTTTATATTTGTAGTTTTATATTCACACATTTGCATTTTTGTTCCACATCTAACGATCGTTTGTATGGCACCAATATGATATAACATAGTCGCCCGAATTTCATAAAATTTGACACAAAATGTAAGACTGATATAAAATGGCTATATCTCAAATTTGATGAAAATCTGCTGAAAACTGAAAACGTTTTTAATTTTTAATTGCATTAATTTCTCGATCGTTCCTATGGGAGCTATATGATATAGTTGTCCGATTTTCATAAAATTTTACAAAAAATTGTAGATTAAAATGAAATGGTTATATCTCAAATTTGATTAAATTCTGTTGAAAACTGAAAATGTTATATTTTTGTTGTAAAAATTTTCCGATCATTCCTATGGCAGCTATATAATATAGTCGTCCAAACCGGCCCGTTCCGACATATATACGAGTGAGAGTATATAGAAGACTAACTACAAATTTTCATTCAGATAGCTTCAAAACTGAGAGACTAGTTTGCGTAGAAACGGACAGACGGACAGACGGACATGGCTAGATCGGCTCGGCTGTTGCTCCTGATCAAGAATATATATAAACTTTATATAGTCGGAGGTGCCTCCTTCAGTGCGTTGTAAATTTCTGACTGAAATTATAATACCCTGCAAGGGTATAAAAAATAAGTAATAGTTAAAAGAATCTAAGAAAACATAAAAGAATTTATCAATCCTGACGATCCTATTAGGATAATGAATTTTTATCAAATTACTGCATTGTCGTTGGTCCTTGAGAAGTATGCAAAGTTTTAAGCTTATCAGATATTTGGAAACCCTTGCGAATAGTGTTCAAAGATTTCGTTACATACTTACATACATACATCCCGAACTAATAAAAGCGAATTAAAAACTCGACAGCATTACCTCCCAAAATATGTACAGAAATTGAGTTTAAAACTTCAAAAGGATCGGTGCAGTAGTTTTGAAGTTATGATGGACACCGACTTTGAAAACGTGAGTTATGAAAAATGAGCTTTAAAGTTTTAAACACAAAAGAAACCCAGTGTAAAACGAAAATTCGGCAGGTATAAAAATACTCATAACTTCGTCAATTTCGCATTAATGAATGAAAATGAAATCAGGCCTTACTTAATTGTTTTTTAACATAAAAATATATAATTTATATTGTATTACTTCCTAGAGATCGAAGTTCTATCTGCAAGGGTATATAAACTTCGGCGTGCCGAAGTAAACTTTCTTTATTGTTTTCTGTTAATTTATTGATCGATCCTATGGCAGCTACTTATATGATATAGTAGTTCGATTTTTATACCCTTGCAGGGTATTATAATTTCAGTCAGAAGTTTGCAACGCAGTGAAGGAGGCGCCTCCGACGATATAAAGTATATATATTCTTGATCAGGATCAACAGCCGAGCCGATCTAGCCATGTCCGTCTGTCCGTCTGTCCGTTTCTACGCAAACTAGTCTCTCAGTTTTGAAGCTATCTGAATGAAAATTTGTAGTTTATAGAAGACTATATACTCTCACTCGTATATTTGTCGGAATGGACGGGATCGACCGGATATAGCTGCCATAGATCTGCCATTATCGGAAAATTTTTACAAAAAAATTATAACATTTTCAGTTTTTAACAGAATTTAATCAAATTTAATAGATATTTCATATTATTCTACAATTTTGTGTAAAATTTTATGAAAATCGGACTACTAAATCATATAGCTCCCATAGGAACACTAGAGAAATTAATTCAATTAAAAATTATAACATTTTCAATTTTTAACAGAATTTAATCAAATTTAAGATATAGCCATTTCATATTATTCTACAAGTTTGTGTAAAATTTTATGAAAATCGGACAACTATATAATATAGCTCCCATAGGAACGATCGAGAAATTAATACAATTGAAATTATAACATCAAGTTTGAGATATAGCCATTTTATATCAGTCTTAAATTTTGTGTCAAATTTTATGAAAATCGGACGACTATATTATATAGGTACCATACAAACGATCGTTAGATGTGGAGCAAAAATGCAAATCACAGCAGGTATTACTTCATTGTTTTTTAACATAAATATATATTATTCATATTGTATGGATTCCTAGTCATCGAAGTTCTATCTGCAAGGGTATATAGACTTCGGCGTGCCGAAGTTAGCAGCCTTTCTTGTTATAAATTAAAACCGAAATTTCTAAATAATACAAAATGGGTATATCCTAAGTTAGATGAAAATGCGTTTAAAACTGGAAAAGTTATCATTTTTATACTACAAATTTTCGGATCGATCCTATGGCGGCCATATGATATAGCCGTCCTATCCGGCCCGTTCCGACTTTCATATATACCAGTGGGAGACTAGTTTAAGTAGAAACGGAAAGACGGTAATGGCTAAATCGACTAGGCTGTTGATGCTGATCAGGGATATATGTATATACTTTATAAGGTTGGAAATGAATCCTTTACAGCGTTGCAAACTTTTAACTTAATTTATAATACCCTGCAATGGTATAAAAATAACTAAGAAATCTTACCTCAGTTTCAGTAGGTTTTTTTATTAAAAGTTCCGATTCAACATCTTCTTTTTTTAACTTCTTGGGATAGATGAACAATAATTATTAAATCAAATAATACATTGGATAAGACAAAAACATACATCAATAGACAAGCCTTCTTCTCCATTTCCCTCAGGGTCCTTCTTTTCCTAAACATAATATAAGAAAATAGGAGCGCGATAATTATATATTCAAAGAAAAAAATTTTTTAGATCCTAGATCCGAGTGACATGAATTCACATTTCATATCTAGTTTTAACCGATTTCTGTTCTGTTAATTACTGTTACTGAAAATGTTGTGAAAATTATATTAAAATTACCTCTCAAAAATATCTCTAATGAAATTTTGGTCTACTCGGCTTATGATGTCACCAATAAGCTTCAAACTATGGGCGTATATCACTTACATCAATTAGGGGACTCCCTATACGACGGAATGACTAAATTATTGAAAATATCTGCAATTGAAAACAGTTGCTTTCATACAAACTGCTCATACAATTTTTTCAGTCGTTACTCCGAGGTTGGTTAATATATATATATATAATATATAATTTATATAATATATTACCGAAAAGGCAGTGTTGCGTTCTTTTTTACTAAATTTGGCAAAGCAATTCCCCTCACCGTGTAATGAAATTATAAATTATGATTATTAACGGTAATACGATTTATTTTTCAGCACAACTTTACCGATTTTATCTAGAATTTGAAACGCTCATTGGGTATTCTCTTCGCCGAAAAATCCAAGGCGATATAGGGCACCCAATAATTCTATATTTACAGACAATTTCTGTTCTAAACGTTTGCCATTTAAAACATTATCCTTTTTTAAGGTCAAGGATATATTAAAAAGTTCAATACTTTACTCTCGACCTTCATCAATTGTTGCCAAAATTTCAAAGGGTTTTTCGGGAATTCAATTATTTAATAGTAGCTTCAATACCTATTTTGTCGTTTTTTCGTCATTTTCTTTTATTGTTTACACTTTACACTTTAAAATTTTGAAAACAGCTGCTCAATTCAATCGCAGACTTTTTCGGGTCATTCCCTACACACAAAAAAAAAAATTGAAAAAATCATGTACGGTTCGGGTTAAATGGTCAAATTAAGCCCGTATATGGATTAAAATGAATTTATATCTCGCACGTGTGTTCATATGATTCCCAACTGATTCCCGGATTTTTTTTGTGTGTAAAAGTCTAAAAATATCGTCCAAGTATAGCAACACCGATATTTTCAGAAATTTAGGCTTATAGGGAATCAAACTAGTTCTCAACTTGCCTTTTCATTGAGCGATTCGTTCGCTGTTGTAAGATCAATTTTATTGTTATTTTCCGCAGTCAACTCCGATGACACTTTTGCTCGATCATTGGGATCCTGAAATATTAAATATTTAATTTAGAAGAACAACCAAAGTGAAAAAAGTTTTTAAAAGCTGTTAAGCGCGCGCTATCGTTAAAACGCAGCTTGTTATAATACTATAATATATAAAATAATATTATAATATCTTGCAAAACAAAAGTTATAATAGCCTTTCAGTAAATAGTTAAAGGTTTTTCAATTGAGATAATATTTTGCCCTTATACTGGATTTGGAGCTGCTCGTTCTTTTCTGTAGCGCATACTCATACCACCCTTTCTATGATATCAAATTATTGACGCATGTTATTAAGACCTAAATTAAATAAAGATTATTCTATTAGCCAAAGTTAGAATAGCTAGCTGCTTTTAAAAATAGTTTTATGAGCTTTTAAAAAATAATTTTTTAGATGTAAAACTATAAAAATACTTCATCTTCGGAAAAAGATTCTACGCCATCGTCTCCTGATTCTGATTCTTCAACAATAACATCTTGTTTTTCGTCATCAATTGGTATTTTTGGCTTATCATCCTCAATTTTCAATACGTTATCAACATTCAAAGGGGGATTATCAGTTATAGAAGGTTCTTTGATAGTTGGATCTGATGGTTTTGAATCACTGTCTGTGACATCCTCTTTAATATCTTTATCAATAGTATCTGTTGAGGCAACAGTAATCACTGAATCACTATCTGTGACTGCCTCTTTAGTATCTTTCTCATTAGCATCGGTTGAGGCAACAGTAATCGACGATATTTGCTCGACTTGATTTTCGGTACTTTCAGTTATATCTAAACTTTGGTTTTGTTCAGACTCGACGGCTTGACTTTCGGCCTCGCCTCCACTTTCTTGGTTAGGAGCAAGAACCACTGTTATCGTAACCTCATCGTTTTTAAGCTCCTTCTCTGCTGAATTTCCATTTTCGATGTTTACCTTAAGAATTTAAAATAAACTATAATTCACTTCAAGTTTACAAATCCAGAAATATTTGTTTTCAGAAATCACGTACAAAAAGGTGTCTAAAAGTATGCATTATACATTTACTAAATCTAAAATGTAGCTCGTAGCATCCTTTTTGACACCTTTGTAATGGAATGTGAAGGTTTTTTAACGTGTAAGTCTCGCTTTAGATACACAGGTATATTATATATGATTTTACTCTAACTCCATACAATTGTAATACATTTTGGTTACAAATTATATATTTATACCCTTGCAGGGCATTATAGTTTCAGTCAGAAGTTGGCTACGCAGTGAAGGAATCACTTCCGACTATATAAAGTATATATATTCTTGATCAGCATCAACAGCCAAGTTGATCTCGTCCTTGTCCGTCTCTCCGTTTTTACGCAAACTAGTCTCTCAGTTTTAAAGGTATCTCTAAATGAAACTTTTGCAGTTAGTCTTCTATATACTCTTACTCGAATATATGTCGGATCGGACGACTATATCATATAACTGACATGGAAAAATCTGAAAATTTTTACAATATAGCTATTTTTGAATATAGCCATTTTATATTATTCTACAATTTTGTGTACAATTTGATGAAAATCGGACAACTATATCATATAGCCGCCCTAGAAACGGTTGTTAGATATAGAGGAAAATGCAAAACTGTGAATGTAAAACTCAAAATCTAATATGTATGGATTAAAGAAATATAACCAGGTATTACTTCATTGTTTTCTTTCATAAATATATATAATTTATATTGTATTAATTCCTAGTGATCGAAGTTCTATCTGCAAGGGTATATAAACTTTGGCATGCCAAAGCTAGCTTCCTTTCTTGGTTTTATATTAGCACATTTATATCGTACTTACCACGGGTGTAGAATCCATTTCACAAATCAAATCTTTGTATATTCGAGTAACAAACTAAATATATAAAGAAAATATATAAATAATGCCTTCATAAAGCCTATCAATAAAGATAAGTATGAGCAACAGGTGCCAAAATTATATACACATATGTAGGTATAGGTATGTATACACAAACATCTGGCACAGGTGCAAGTACTCAAATATACTCAAATGCTAAAAAAAAGAGTTCAATACTTGAGTTCATTAAATTATATAATATTTATTTTAACCACTGCATTTGAGTATTTAATAATACTTTTTTTCTAGTAACCAATTGAATAAATTGAAGACATCGTAATATTTTTACCTGATTATTTGTTATAAACGTTAAATAATTTGGACTTTACAATACTATGAAATCGAACTATATTTGTACGATAGATAATAATAAAATCAAAATTCTCGCAAGAATGAACCGAAGAATATACATACGCCGTCGAATTTCGTAGAATTTGAGTGCACATCAAAGATACGTTCCACACCGTCCACATTTTTTTGCTATTTACTATATCAACTCATTTCCCACATATAACTTTTTCTCACAAAAATTTAATTTTAAACACACACACACAAATAGTGTATGCGTACGTACAATTACAAAAATAAATATATTTTTTATATGTGTATATACTAGGCTGATTTTCTGGTGGAAAGTCGCAAACACACACGCGGAAGCATTCAAATACAAAATATATAAAAATGTATTGTGTATTTGAATTTTTATATTTTTACTTTTTTTATACAAACTTAATAAAAACCACAATATACCTTTATTAATTATTTCCTCACCACTGTAAACGGTCTTCCACATGAGGTAGTTTGCAAAAAAGTGTTTAAAGCAACTAGAAACAACAACGTTTTTCGAAAATGTTAATAATTTCTCAAATTTGATGAAAATCTGTTAAAATCTGAAAATGTTATAATTTTTAATTGCATTAATTTCTCGATCGTTCCTATGGGTGATGATGTAGTAGTCCGATTTTTATAAAATTTTACATAAAATTGTAAAGTAATATGAAATATTACGAGAGTAAAAATTTTCGGATCATTCCTATGGCAGCAATATGATGTAGTCGTCCAAACCGGCCCGTTCCGACATATATACGAGTGAGAGTATATAGAAGACTAACTACAAAGTTTCATTCAGATAGCTTCAAAACGGAGAGACTAGTTTGCGTATAAACTGACAGACGGACAGACGGACATGGCTAGATCGACTCTGCTGTTGATCCTGATCAAGAATATATATACTCTCTATAGTCCGAGGTGCCTCCTTCAGTGCGTTGCAAACTTCTGACTGAAATTATAATACCCTGCAAGGGTATAAGAAGCAGGCATTACTTTATTGTTTTTTACATAAGTATATATAATTTATTTATTTTTTATCTAACACGCTGAACAACCTTATTGTTATACCTTTGCAGGGTATTACAATTTTAGTCAGACAATTGCAACGCAGTAAAGGAATCATTTTCGGCCCCGTTTCTACGCAAACTATTCTCTCAGTTTTAAAGTTATCTAAATGAAACTTTGCAGTTAGTCTTCTAACTATAAAAATAAATAGCCAAACTGTAAATGTAAAACTTTCCCTTTAAATATGTATAATAAGAATGAGTGACACGGCAAGATCAAGCAAATTTCTTGCAAGAGGACACACAAACTGTCCCACCGTTATCAGCGACGGGAACTACTACAGACGGGAACCTACGAAAGAACTCGGAACCCGAAGAGGGAATCAAAACTCAGACAGACACACCAACGAAAGACATCATGGGCAATCAATGACATGAAAGCCGATTCATCCTGAGATCCCTCAACTGGTAAGATATTGAGGGAAGCATCAGGGAGTGGATCGGGGGTATGCTACCGAGCAGGATGATTAAAGCCGAACTGAGTTGCACTCACCTCCCGTGGACGGTGAAGAGAGGCACACTTCATGGCGGGGTTTTATCGTCCCTAATCTGGCTTATAAACATAAAAAGCATATTGGAAAAACTCAATATGGGTGGTATATCTAGGAGTGATACTGGACCAATGGAAGAAAAACGTCGCGGAAAGTCCGGTAGGGCTGCTCTAAATGCTGTCCTGAACGTAATGCCGATAATGGGAGCTGGGATCTATGCTGATCACTGAGAGATTGAAGAGGTCTTCAATCTCTCCGACTCAGCGACGGTCTTTCAAACCGAGTTGCTTGCCATAAGGGAAGCAGTCAGGCTTTCAATACGGCGAGGACTTAGCGACACAAAAAATCGAATCTAGCTCAGCTGGCGTGAAAAACAACGAACGGCTAGTTGCAGAATGCCGGGTACCGGGACACAATGACATCCCAGGGAACGAAAAAGCATACGAACTAGCCCTAGCAGGCTCTAAGAGGCTAAGAACCGACATAGAGACACTGATCTCCTCAAACTCGCTCCAGACAAGAATTTTCATTCCACTAAAAGCAATGGTATTAGTCCCAATTTATATGATATTTAACGTTGTTTATTGTTTCAAATTCAAAAGTTTTTTAACATACGACTTTTGCAATTGTAACTTTATATATAAAATTGTAGGTTATGGTCCATCAACATAATCTCGAACGCCGACATTAATACGACCCTCGGCGGCTGTTACCGAAAATCCAAGAATACTCCGTGCATCCATTCTAGTCATCTTGTTCTTTTTCACTTTCTTCTGTTTGTTCTTTGGAAATAAAAAATTAATAAGAAATCTTAAAAAAATTATAGCAACCCACCTTATTATCAGTATTATCATTAGATGATGGAGTTATAGCAGGCGCTGGTTTGCACATGTCATCGTTGTGTGCATTCTGTGCCCGCTGCAAGCTCTTGTATTTGCTGCGACGTTCTAAAAACTGTTTGGCAAAGTCCAATGAATCTTTTCCTTCACCTAAAGAAGAAAGAAAGAAAATTCGGACATTTATAAAAAAAAACAAGCAATATTAGGAATTTTAAAGTTTGTTCTAAACATCGAGAATAATAACCAAGAAATAAAAAATTCTTCATGTTTGCAGATTGCAGATATTTTTACGCAGAAAGAAAGAAACCTCGCACATCAGGAATAAAACTAATTATAATATATTCTCCATAAGACAAGTTACATTTGGTATACCTACGCTTAATACAAACCCAAACTAAGAAATAAAGAATGCTCTTTCTCAGGGTATTTTTAAATTAAAATTTCTCATATAGAGACTTAGAGACTTAAAGAGCAATATTAGGAATTTTAAATGTTGGTCTAAATATCGAGAATCTACGGCTGCCGATGAGGTTAATGTTTATGTGAAATCTCTCTGTGTGGTGTCAAATCAAGAAATTAAAACTCTACGAACATGAGAGTAACTTTACAGAATTACGCCTTAGCTGCTGAATTCTCAAATTGCTGAATTGGCAAATTTTTGTAAAGTCACGCCATCGAGGCGGGAAGTCATTACTCAAGTTTTCCTCGCATCGCTCAAAATTATAAAAAGGTCGATTGGATTACTGAACGAGCAACACTAGCAGAGAAGAATTCAAAATCCAATCGCTGAAGAACTGCACTAGAGAACTAAAGCCATTAAATATCCGATGGAATTTTTGAACTCGCTTGATCTGGAACTCCAGAGACTCCGGCGCATAATTTATCTTATCTTCCGAAATACTACAATGGTACGCGTTTGTCGGTAAAGAAACTAATGAACGATGTAATTCAAGCAACGACGATCACAGGCAAATTCAAAGGAGGGGAAGTTATAATCCCACTAATTCCAATGGTCTTCCATTTCAATTTAAGCGGATTCAGTTCCCACATTGGCTGACTTTTGCGATGACAAAAAATTAATCGCAAGGCCAGTCTGTGGGGTTAATGAAAATTTTTCGCATGGTCAGTTGTACGTAGCATATCCCTGTGTTGGAAAGCCGCCTTCGTAGCTTATAAGTATTTACGCTGGAAAATAAATCATCAACTGATGAGATTCAAATAAATTACATAGAAAATTTAGTTATCTGCGTTTTATTATCACGCTGGGGTCATATACAACATCAAAGTGGGGCGAGACAAAGTTGTGTATATGCAAGCATGATAGCCGCAGCTTTTCTTGCGGTGGATAATTTTGCATTTAGATATATCCCTATATTTGGCGAATAGCTCTGCATATCTGTATATCGCTTATTCGAATTTTTCTTAAAGCTGAAATTCTTATCTAGCAGTTCTACAGTATGAAGTCATTAATTATGTGCTATTAAGGTTTAGTTTCATTACATATAATTCGCAGGAAAACCACCATATAAATCCGTAAAGTATGAGTATTCACTCAATAAAATTGCTTATTGTTAATTTGACCTATATCAGTGCTTGTTTGCTGCTAGAACAATTTTGGGGCCCATTTTTACACCCTTGTAGGGTATTACAATTTCAGTCATAGGAATGATCGGAAATTTAAAAAAAAATAAATAAATAAATAAATAAAAATAGGACTACTAAATCATAAAGCTCCCATAGCAACGATCGATAAATTAATACAATTATAAATTTTAACTTTATCAGTTTGTAACAGATTTTCATCAAATTTTAGATATAGCCATTTTATATTAGTCTAAAATTTGACCTATTTCAGTGCTTGTTTGCTGCTAGAACAATTTTGAAGCCCATTTTTATACCCTTGCAGGGTATTACAATTTCCGTCATAGGAATGATCGGAAAATTAAAAAGAACAAAAAATTATAAAAATCGGACTACTAAATCATAAAGCTCCCATAGCAACGATCGATAAATTAATACAATTATAAATTTTAACTTTATCAGTTTGTAACAGATTTTCATCAAATTTTAGATATAGCCATTTTATATTAGTCTAAAATTTGACCTATTTCAGTGCTTGTTTGCTGCTAGAACAATTTTGAAGCCCATTTTTATACCCTTGCAGGGTATTACAATTTCTGTCATAGGAATGATCGGAAAATTAAAAAGAACAAAAAATTATAAAAATCGGACTACTAAATCATAAAGCTCCCATAGCAACGATCGATAAATTAATACAATTATAAATTTTAACTTTATCAGTTTGTAACAGATTTTCATCAAATTTGAGATATAGCCATTTTATATTAGTCTTAAATTTTGTCGTCCGATCCGTCCCCTTTCGATATATATAAGAGTGACAGTATATAGAAGACTAACTACAAAGTTTCATCAAATAGCTTCAAAACTGAGAGACAAACAGATAGACGGAAATGGCTAGATTGACTCGGCTGTTGATGCTGATCAAGAATATATATACTTTATATTGTCGGAAGTCCTCTTTCACTGCGTTGCAAGCTTCTGACTCAAATTATAATAACCTGCAAGGGTATAAAAATATATAAAAAAATAACTCGTATTGCATTCTCCAAGGTTTGGGCAAGGAACGTAACATTCGCTAAGCGAAACGCACTTGTAGAGCACATACTAAAGATGTTTGGAAAAAATGTTGATCACCCTAAACTGAAATTGGGTGGGTAAGGGCAAGAACATCATAGCCTTTGCTGTTGTATATTCCTTGGGTACATGGTGCATCAAGTCGAATCGCAGGGGAAAATCAATTGGATGGACACCACCTTCCCTTCGGAGAAGGTCCTCCGGTCGGAAGTGATCTTGCCGTGGCTCTGGGGCGGAGCCACGGTCGACCATGGAACACAATCCAAAATCAGTTTCGGACCTCTTGGACCTCTGCATCTCCGAAATTGACGAAGATGAGTTGTTGCGCTCGGTTGACAAAACGCTAATTCCGTCGCGTTCGGCGGGCACTGCTAAGGCAAGAACTCCCCAAACGGCACAACAAATAACAAACTCCACCAAGACAAGCCACGTCAAGGTGATAGGGGTAGGCGACCAGCCAAAGTCGTCAACCCATCAACAAAAAAGGGGCAGGTTAGCAAGGCCCGGTTTATTCCGGCGAAGATAGACAACAGTGAGAAGGAGACCAAAGCAAACCAGCGAGATCAAGCCGATAAAGCTAGATTCCAGGCAGTGGTCAAGGAGTTCGAGCGATATGAGAAGGAGCATCCAGAAGCGTTCTTACCCACGCAATCGAAGCGCAACCGCTCACATGAAGTGAGACCAGACTGTCTGAGATGGTAACAGACAAATTAATATCGGAGCCATCTGGCTCGACACATCAGCAAACTGATGACAATGGCACTGCACGCATGTGCGAAAGCCTGTAGATTGGGCACTAACCAAGGTAAGACGGATATTTTGCTCTTCACAAAAAGAACAAAGATCTTTAACTTCAATAAACCTCAGATAGAAGGTTTAGACCTAAAGGTTTACTTTTTTGCGTGAAAGTAAATATTTTTTGTCCGAACAAACTGCTGATAGAATGGAAATTGTAAATCAAGGTATGTATTTTTTACTGAATATAGATTGTTTATGTGTAGTCTTAGTGTTTGTTTTTTGTTTAATGTTCAATTTATGTGTATTTTTTATAGAAAATTAACATACGTCCCTTGTGTTTTGTGGAATAAAACTAACGACCTGACGGCTGCTGACAAAAACTAATTACGTCAGTTTTAAGACTAATATAAAATGGCTATACCTCAAATTTGATGAAAATCTGTTGAAAACTGAAAAAGTTATCATTTTTAATTGCATTAATTTCTCGATTGTTCCTATGGGAGCTATATGATATAGTAGTCCGATTTTCATAAAATTTTACACAAAATTGTAGAGTATAGTAAAATGGCTATATTTTAAATTTGATCCAATTCTATTGAGAACTGAAAATGTTATAATTTTTTTTGTAAAAATTTTCCGATCAATCCTATGGCAGTCATCCGATCTGGTTCCATTCCGACATATATACAAATGAAGCCCTAGCCTACATCCTTCAAAATTTGTAAACCAAACAGCAATATGCAAACACTAGGATTTTAATTATAAATCATCACAGTGACATCTATCCGAGCTACAGTCAAGTAAAAGAAGCTAAGATACAGTGAACAAAGTGCATACAAGCAGAAGTTTGAAGTAAAAAATAGTCTCAGATCAGTCCTTTTTTTGCAACTTCTGTTATACCTATTAAAATGATTGACTCATTTCAACGAAATATCTGGGTTAACAGAACACCGCAATCTGTTCTATTTTGCAGGCCGCTGAAAATTCAATTTGTTAACGAAACTTTTGATCATATACGTATGGAAAAAATCAGACTATCAAAAGATAATCTAAAACCGTTCTTTTATAAACTGAATGAGGCTAATAACATAACAGTTACCTTTGAAATGCATATGGCACTCATTAACGGAAAAGTTTTAATGTACTAACTCAAAATAAATAAATCAATGTTGTTCAATTTGTGATGTTACCCCCACAAAAGTAATGGAAATCAACGATTTCAATTCAAAAATCTTTACGCCCAAGCTTGAAGCTTTAAAATTTGAGGTGAGTCCTCTACATGCTTGGATTCGGTTTTTAGAATATATATATATATATTTAGAATATATATAGAATATATATATATTATTATCATACAAAATGGAAATACAAAAATGGCATGTAAAAGGTGATGACGTGATGGTGCGCGGAAAAAATATATTCATGAAAAAATGTGGATTAATATGGGTCTTCAAGTAAGCGTGCCAAAGAATGGTAGCGGGAACAGCAATGACGGTAATACAATAGTGAGCAAATAGTGAACAACTATCATCCATAACCGGCTTTGATAAAACCCTTTTAAATAATTTGCACATTATATTAATAGCAATTTTATTAACTATTATATAAACTCTGACAAATTTCGAACTTTTTGTGATAAAACGTTTTGCCTATATATGCATAAAAACCCGTGGTACCCCACGGTTTTCCACGGTTTTCAAATAAATAATTCAGCGTTAGTTCCACTAGGATTCTTAGGCGAAAATGCTTTAGAAGCCCGAAATAAAATCTATAAAAAAGATCAATTCTCACACGCAAGGAAAAATAGCCGAATCAATACTATGAGTGACATTTTCCACTGGGCGATCGATTCCTCGGATCCTTTACTATCTAGTGCCTGTTAAATGGAAAGAGAACGGAAAAACACAAAAAAAACCAATTCCCAAAGAAGTATTACTCCTTCTGGAGCTGCCGTCAACTGTGAACAACATCCCATTTGAAAAGGAATTGCAATCTGATTGTGATACGGATGACTTGAACGAAGGCAGCACAATAATACTAGAAGAAGAAGAATATGATGTTTAAGACAGAACACATACATAACATATAAATATGTTTATATAGATATTTAAATTATTTCTGAAATAAATGTAAGTATATTGTCTGAATTCAGCATCATACTCAATTTCTAATGATAATCCTACGAATCGGTGTGTATGGGAAGCAATAGAGGGCGTGGTCGCACAGACTCAAAAATTATTTTTACATTATTATCTTTCTAAAAAACATAATGTGCAAAGTCTTAGGTAACTCTATGTAACTCTATTTTTAGAATTTATGCCAAAACGATTGACTTCTGGACCATAGTGCAAAAGCTAGAAAATGATGCTCATTTGGGTTCAAACTCCCAATGATGCTGTAATATCATCAGAAGTTCATCAAATAAGAACATTTTTTTTTTATGGCAGCTATGTGATATCGTAGTCAGCTTTTATAAAATTTTAAGCAAAATTCTATAATAATATAAAACCGATATATCTAAAAAATCTGTTAAAAACTGGAAAAGATATATTTTTTTTAACAAGAAAAGAAGCCAGCTGCTGCCAGGCCTGCTGATGTTTATATACCCATGCAAATAGAACTTCGATCAGAAGGAATTAATACACTTTAAATATACATTTATGTAAAAAAGAAAAAAAAGTATTGCTATCTTTTGTATGGCAGCTGTATGATATAGTAGTCCGATTTTCAGAAAATTGTAAACAAAATTGCAGTAAAATATAAAATTGCTATATCTCAAATTGTATGAAAAACTGTTGAAAATTGGAAAAGTAAACTTCGGCGTGCTGAAGTTAGCTACCTTTCTTATTTTTATCTATTTTAAGATAAAGCCTTTTGTAATATTCTAAAATTTCGGTCGTCATATGATCAATCAATAAATTGATTTTTTAAATATTCCGATATATAACCAGCGCATAGACAACAAATCTGACGGATACAGGCAACGTATAACTAGTTAAAAACTGGAAAAGTTTTCATTGTTTCCAATTAATTTCCGATTATCTTCGCAGCAGCTACGATGGAGGAAAGTTAAAAAAAAAACACTTTTGAGAATAACCTAAAGAAAATAAATATTGCGGGTGTAGACTGCTCTGCAGAGCATTCCTTCTTAGAGCTATAACTTTCGTAACACATGAAATATCAAAGAACCCTTTTAAGCACATAATCTACATAACTTATATATAATATTTATGAAAATAAATGCAACTTTTTTCCCTTTTAAAATTTGTTTTGCTGTAAACTAGTGATCATGTGTGTACATTTGCTTACTTTAGTACATACCGAGATATATGCGGACATAGTCCTTGACCTCATATGGCGCCTCCAAGTCCTGCAAGAAGGCTACAAATGTTGGTACTGAAAAAAGATACAAAGTTAATAATATTTAAAAACAAGAAAGGAAGCTAACTTCGGCACGCCGAAGTTTATATACCCTTGCAGATAGAACTTCTATGAATAGATAGATTCAAGATAGATTATATATATTTGTGTTAAAAAACAATGAAGTAATACCTGCTTTCATTTCATTCACCTATACATATTATATTTGCAGTTTTACATTCACAGTTTTGCATTTTTCCTCTACATCAAACGATCGTTTGTATGGCACCTATATGATATAGTCGTCCGATTTTCATGAAATTTGACACAAAATTTAAAGACTAATATAAAATGGCTATACCTCAAATTTTATGAAAATTTGTTGAAAACCGAAAAAGTTATAATTTTTAATTGTATTAATTTCTCGATCGTTCCTATGGGAGCTATATGATATAGTAGTCCGATTTTCATAAAATTTTATGCAAAATTGTAAAGTATAGTAAAATGGCTATATCTCAAATTTGATCCAATTCTATTGAAAACTGAAAATGTTACAATTTTTTTTGTAAAAATTTTCCGACAGCCGAGTCGATCTAGCCATGTCCGTCTGTCCGTCTGTCAGTCAGAAGTTTGCAACGCAGTGAAGGAGTCATCTCCGACCATACAAAGTATATAAATTCTTGATCAGCATCGACAGTCGAGTCGATCTAGCCTTGTCCGTCTGTCCGTCCGTCCGGTTCTACGCAAACTATTCTCTCAGTTTAAAAGTTATCTAACTGAAACTTTGCAGTTAGTCTTCTATAAACTGTTACACGTATATACACGTGCCGAATCAGACGACTATACATACATACAACATTTCGGTGTTATTTTGATACAAAATAAATTGACAAACTGTAGATGTAAAACTGTACCTGTAAATATAATAAGTATAGGTTACACGGCAAAATCAAACAAATTTCTCGCCAAAGGACACACAAACTACCCCACCGTTATCAGCAGACCAGACGGCACTACTACAACGACAGAGCTACTTGTTGACACTCACTTTCCAGGGAACCTACGAAAGAACTCGGAACCCGAAGGGGGAAGGAAAACTCAAGACAGACACACCAACGAAAGACATCATGGGCAATCAATGACATGAAAGCCGATTCATCCTGAGATCCCTCAACTGGTAAGATATTGAGGGAGGCCTCAGGGAGTGCATCGGGGTTATGCTACCGAGCAGGATGATTAAAGCCGAACTCAAAAACTCAATATGGGTGGTATCTAGGAGTGATGCTGGACCAATGGCCTGGTCAGAGTTTACGATAGCTTTATTAAATGTAAGCGAGGAAGGGTATAAATTGAGTTTACGCTTAGTGTTAACAAAGTTATAAAACTGTTTTAGGTTCTGCACAAACTGAACCCTACAACGAATCAAATAATTTGTATAACACTGAGCGTCAAGCACGGTAAAGTTCGATCGAGCACTTAGATAACTAGAGAAAACAGTGTGTGAACCCGTGAGTTTATATTTATTATAAAGTTTTTGAATTTACATTTTTTAGGCGAGTTAGCCCTTTGTTGAACTAAGGCGATTTATTAGAGACCAAAGGATAAGTTACCGGAACACTTTACGAAAAGAAAGAAAGAGTTCATGGTTCTGTAAAAAATGTCCACGGCGGTTTCCATGTCAGAGCACATGTGCAAGATTTTCAAGCTTTTTTCAGCTTTTCGATTAAGTTTAATTCCTATGATATTACACGTATCGATAGTCACATCGAAAGTTGGATGGTAAGGATCTTCAGGTTGCGTCGATGGAGGAACTCTAATAGGGTTTACGCCTGCAGGATCAGAGGCGAAGTAAAGATCAAGTAAGCGGTTTGATGAATTATGCACATGAGATAAGGACAAATCAAGCGAGCCATCTATGAGTTCATGCTGTGCCGCAGTCTGAAGGACATTTGAAACACCATCAGAAGCCCAACGAGCTCTAGGTATATTAAATTCCCTTAGAGCCAATAGTTGGTCCCTATCTGAAAGCCTTTTGCAAACGGCCAAATTGGCTCTTCAGACGTTGGAGGGATATACGAAGAAGAGATATGAATAAAACTACATGAAAATGAAAGTTTCACACAGATAAATTCTTTATCCGTGAAATCGTCAGACACCACCAAATCCGAGATAAGGCAGGAGTCAACGGCAATTAAAACTCAACCTCCTCGCAGGAAAAGGCGGTATAATCTATTAATTGTGTACTTATCCGGAAGAATTTCGGAGCAGAGTATATCCGGCTTCAACCAGGTTTCAGTAAACACAATTATCTGGGATGCAAAAGAGAAGCTATCAGAATACGGCTTCAAGAGGTTGCTGTGCAAGTCCCTCGTATTCTGATTGGAAAGATTGAGGTGAAGAGGTTAGTTCTTGGGGACTGAAGGTACAACGGTGGATACTGTAGCTTGTGCCTGGGTAGTTGTACTCCTACAGGCCGTTTTATATGCTCGAGCCAGACGTCACAAAGTCCACGAAGGTGGAACTTATTGTTACTAACATCGACCGTTAATGGATTTCGATAGAATCAAGCGGTGTCAACAATTCTGACACCGCAGCGGACAGAACGAAAATTACTGGCGAAGCTGTTACTGTTATCCCCACGCTCGATACGGTTTCAAAATCCTATTCCGCTCCAGATCTCAGAACCATTGGACTTGTTACTGGATTCAGGAGCTGTTCCACGGGGGCGTCGCAAAGCCAGCAATGGAGATTCGGCTGATCAGCCGAAACACCTTTACATCAATTTTTATTGCGCAAACAATACCTAAGGACATTATCACAAACCCTTGAACTACTTTGCACGTTATCAAAAATCGGGAGAGCGGGAGAATAAGACAGCGAAAGAGCAAGAAAACAATAGAGCATTAGCGGGAGCTTCAAATCAATTAGCTGCAGCCAAAAGAAAACGACACTCAAGCGGGCAGAAAAAAAAGAACGGGATGACAACAAAAGGAAAGTAAGAAGACCGTTTCTGTACAAAACCAAAAAGTAATAATAAATAGATATAAACTACACAGAGAAAATATACGCGCGGTAGCTAAACGGTGTATGTAATTAATAATATTTAATGAAGAATTGAAAGAAACCCCGGTGGTTTAACACAAAAATTCGGAGCCAAACAAAAACACGAAGTGTGTTGATACGATAACGAAGTATAGTTAATTTTTTCTATTATATCGAAGTATAGATATTTTTTTCTGTTACTGTCCCATTAATTTTCGATCGTTCCAATGTCTAGTCTCTCACTTGTATGTATGTCGGATATAGGATTGATCGGATTCTACATATTTTCATCTTCTCTAAGAAAAAGCCACTATAATATGTATTTATATTATTACAAATTTCTCATTCTTCAAGATCTTTAGATTGATTTGCTGCCTGTATACTTAATGTACTCGAAAATTATTTCTTGGAAATAGAAAGATAAGAATAAGGATAAGGATAAGGGATAATAAAAATATTTACCATCAACTTTAGCAGACATATTGTCCAAGCTCTTCATACACCAGTTGGTAAACTCATTTTCATACTCATTAACCTTGCTTATTGAGGGATCTGTTTGCCCCTTGAATTGTGGTTTTCGATCTTTATCCTTTTCTTCAATTGAAGCTGCGATTGCTTTCTGTTTAGGTTTCACTTTCTCGGGTTGATTTTGTGGTTTAATAGCAGGCAATGTTTGACTTTTTCGTAGATTTCGTGGCGATGTTAGGGGGTTTGTGTTAGACTTATTCTGTGCCTGCAGAATTGACGAGGACCTAGTGGCAGTGGAGGCTGCAGTGGAAGATCCTCCTCCTCCTCCATAATATGAAGTCTGATGCTGGTAAGTTAAAGTCTCTTCCCATAAACCAGAAGAGCCAGAAAGAGCCAATGGAGAGGGACCACTCCATGCTTTATTGACATTACCCCAAATGTTCGACATCGTGGCGCCTCCTCCTCCGACCCCTGTCCCAGATGCTCCTCCCGGTAATGTTCCAGTTCCAAGATGCTGCTGCTGCTGAAGCTCTATATCCTTTCGTAGCTCATTTGTTAATCGCTTTGTTTCTTCCGCTTGAATCTCCGCCAGACTCATAACTGGCATAGAAGTTGGTGCGACCGATTGCCATTTTAGGAGAACATCGTTGGCTTCAGCTTGAGCTGCTGCATTAGCCCGCGACCGCTTGTCGAGTTGCTCCTGATGACGCTGCTGGTCGGCTCGACGCTCGCGACGTTCTGCCTTTTGAATCTCAGCCAGACCGGGGGCAACGGTGCTGTTAGCATTTGGTGATCGGGCGAGGGACCAAGGCGCTATGGATGTGCCTGGTAAACGGACCGAGGATCTCTGTGTCTCTAATGACTGGTCTCCGGCGGCTTTGAAGACTGAATCCTTTGTAGCATGAGGTTGGGCATTGCTAGTGCTGCCTAGCAGAGCCTTCCGACGTTGGGCTTGTATCTGCTGCTGTCTCTCCTTTTCCTCTTGAACTTGTCGGGCTCTTTCTTCAGCTTCTTGAATGGCCCTACGCTTTTCCTCTTCTAGCTGCTGTCGTTTACGCTCTTCTTTTTGGCGTCGCTTTTCTTCTGTTTGCTCTCGTCGGCGTTGATCCTCATCATTGACTTGCTTTTGTGGTTGTCTGATATTTGAATTTAGCTTGTTATTAGTTGGTTGCTTATGGTCCTTTGTTTTATATGGTTCATTCAATGATTTAGTTACATCTTCGTGATGTACATCTGTTACAATGTGGGGTTCATGGGGTTCTTCTAAAGGTCTCTCTTCATTCTTTAAGCTTACCTCCGCCAGTTTTTTCTCCACAAAATTGCTACTTGGGTGCTGTTGCTGTTGCCGCTGCTCTTTTTGTATCATTAGTTGCTGCTGCTGTTGACTCTGTTCCTCTTCTAAAGTAGCCACATCCCATAGCGTTCCTTTTGGCCATTGCGAAGTGGAGTTGGTAGGCTTCACTGACTGAGGAGGCAGCCACATGGGTATCATTAAATTTTGAGCTGTTAACATTTGTGTTTCTTCAACAGAAGAATGAAGTTGTTGAGAATCTGCTGCAATTGTTGACTGATGACTATTGCCACGTAATAACATTCTCAAATTATATTCATTTAACAAATCCAAATCATTCCTTGACGGCAATTCTTCCGCATTGGGGGTTATTACCGGCTGCTGCTGTTGTTGTTGTTGCATTAATTGTGCATTCAATATGAAGTTATTAGCATCTAATAGATTATTACCAACTATTGACCTTTGTTGAACGCTCTGTTGATCTTTTTTGCTCTGCTCTGCAACCAAATTAAATAGTTCTCTGGCTGCCATTGGATTTATGACAGACAAAGTGTTGCTGAGACCATTTAAACTTGTTAAATAATCGGGCAAAACAATTAATTGTACTTTTCGACGTACAATAGATTCACGTTCTATCGCCGAAAGTCGCTGAAAACAATCGTTTTTCGTCAATTCCGCAAGAATTTGGTACTCTTGATGCTGAACATATTGATCCTGCAGCATTTGGAAACGCATCGATAGCAATTGCGATGTATTACCCATTAAATTTCCTTTAATGGCCAAAGTAAGAGCTTCAGCTGCGGCCGTTACATTGGCTTTAAGGGGTTCATCAGATTGATGTTTACGTGCAAGCAAGGGAATTATGGGCAGGGCAGCGCTTGAAAGTGCAACAGCTGGAAGCGTAGCGGCTGTTGGAATTAACTGTTGCTGAACCTCTTCTTCCAGTAACTGCTGCTGTTGATTTCCACCAGGAATACTACCTCCGTCCAGTAACTGCTGCTGATTTCCACCGCGCAGGCCTCCTCCTCCCTCCAGTAATGGCTTCGGACCTCCTTCCATTTCCATATCCAATTCTAAAGGTGATGGCAACAAGTGGCTGTGCGTGAATGGCATATTTCCATGGCAAAATTTTATAAGTTCGCCCAAGGGACGAAAACGATTATCCGCAAACCGACGAACAAATAAGTTTTCATTGAAATAACCTGCACGATACCACTCTGTCATTTCTAAAGCGCTAAATGGTCCCTGGACGTTCGTTTGCGGATCGCGATAGAACCACAAATCATTAAGGTTCGAACTCAAAGAATTCATCAAATGCGAATGATGATGGTGTAACGATTGACCAGGCGGAAGGAGGGAGAAATGTTGCGTCGTCGGCTGCTGATGTAAATGTTGTGGTTGGTGACGTTGCAGATGACTTAAATTAATAGGTTCGGGAAACGGAGCATTTTGAAGTAAAGATTTGGCAGACAATTCCTCGCCTGATGTTGGACTCTCATTATTTGTTTTTGATTCCATTATAAGCTCAGCAGCTGCAAATCTCTGACTATTGCCAGAGTTTAAATTATTATCATCGTCCATAATCAATTTCTCAACTTCAACAGCCACTTCCTTGATTCTATCAGAAATATCAGTACCGTGAATAATTGTTTGATCTATAGCAGTTACATCACATTTGTCTTCACTGTCCCTCTTCTTTAATTTTACATTTAAGCAGTTTTCCTGAATATTTTCACTTTCCTTGTCGCTGCTTGAATCCTTTATAATTTTCGCTTCTATTTCAGCATCAGCTGTTTCTGGCGTGTTTTTGATTATCGCCACATCATTATGATCAGTGCCATGAAAAGCGCCGCTGGAATCAAAGCTCCCACCAACTTCGGATGGATTTTCCATTGCCCATTCCGGTAGATTCTCATCATTTACAGCTGCCTCCACACCAGTCCACAGTTGAGAGCTCTTCACACCGGATGTTGAAACGCGTACAGAAGAGTGAGCAGTTCCAATTCCCGTTTGTTTCCTCTCACGATCAATGCTTACAGAGCCAACAGTGGAAATGGAACGATGCATTATAACATTTGTCGGTTGACTTTCGCCATTAGAGTCATCTTCACGCCAACTTGTTGATCTTCCTGAAAAAAGGCAGAGTAACCAAATACATTTAATTAAGTTATGTATTATATTTTTTTAATGTATGCAGTTAAGCTTTTAGTAATATTAAAATAAAAGTAAAAAACCTACCCCATCGATGGCTGTTTGTACCAAAACTATTATTTCCACCGCCGCCACTACGCCACCCGGCGGCCATATCTGAACCACTACTAGCAACCACTGGACCATCGCCGGAACCATCTTCATTTCGCATTCGTCTCCAGTTTTCCATGTTGGTGTTGCGATGATGATGGCTGGCAAACTCCTTCCGCGGACTCGAACTTGGCGTACCGTTCCAGTCTAGTATGCCACAACTGCCTCCTCCTCCACCACTTGTTGCTGTTGACGTGTTAGAGTTTATCGAATCACCAGTTCCATTCCGATCAATCCAATTACGTTCAGCGGGCTATTATATTAAAAACAATGTTTTTAGAGCTTATCCATTCCATTATTCCGGGTTTTACCTTGATATTCATTGCAGAAGTTGCTGTAGAATTTTCATCAAAAACACCACTGGGGCGTTGATATATTGAATGATATACCGATTTACCTCTCATTCGGCCACGATCAACGGCTCCACCACGTCCTGTTCCACGCGAAGAAGAACCGAAGCCGCTAGAGGAACGCTGCAACCAAGCAGGCCGCGACTGTAATTCAAATCACACCATTAATTTATTACATTTTAACATGACATCAAATGGAATATAACTTACGCTATTCCCCATAGGATTTGGATTGCTATCTTCTTCAGAGCTGGGCGTTAATGCTAACGGATATTGTACTTTTTCCACAAATAACTTCTTAAATGAAGGCAAAATTTGCGGCAACAAACAGTTCCGATCGAAAAGGGACAACATCTCCTCGCGGCCGTAACGGTATTCAGGAAACAAGAAATTACGGGAAGCTGAGGCAGATGTCGCCATATTAACACCGCCAGCAGCATTTACGTTGTATGTGGTGCTAGTAGAGCCACCAGAAGGCTCAGCTGACATATTGCGCAACCATTCTGGGCCAAATTTCATTGAATCTGTCATGTTCTGACTTCGATCTTTGCTGGTTCAATATTTATCGTAGGCTGACGCTAAATTCCATGTGAATGAATAAAAGAAATTAATGTTAATGAGGTTTTATATTTGTCTCGCTGATGGATTATAACAATAAAATTAATTAAATTAAAAACAAAAAGCGCAATTGAAAAAGTGTGATATTTAAGGTTCGGACTAAATGAACCATGCATCTTAATACAATTGCGTATATGTATATATGTATGTACATACATCACTTTCAACTGTCTGCAGAACATATATATTATTTATAAAAAAATTACATTTAGTTACATAAAGAAGTCACACAAAATTATTTGTTACATATACATTAAATGGGGCAATAAACAAAGCACTTAGAACATAAAAAAGTCGAGAAACAGCTAACATAACCTTAAATAATACCATACAATACAAACGAAATATACACATGCACTAACACACGCATTTGGATTAGAAATAATTTACATATACAAATGTGTGTTACTTCGCACCTATAAACTACAACGAAGTGGCTATTTATTACAAATATGTTATAATCAAACATAAATAGTATAAACGAATTAATATAAAATCAAATATGGTGCAACATATGAATGTACATATGCTTATAAGATTTTTAGCTTTCAACATACAAGGTTTAATGTCTTCGAAATAGATATTGACACGCTATTAATATAGTTATTTATTAAAACTTTAGTTTCTAACCATTACTACTCCAAAATCGAAGAAAAATAATATCTATCTCTACTTACACGTACCACAAATGTATTTTATAGGAAATATCATTTACAAATATTTTCAGTGTGGCCATCATTGAAACACTGACCAACATACCAAATTGTTATTTTATACCAAAAATCCACTATGGAGACATTAAGTTATGCTTTATTCTTGCCAATTCAAGTTACATCTGTACCTCATCCAAAACATTAACAAACATTAACATTTTGCCAAATAAGTTAGAAGAATATAAGAATTATAAGTATATAAAGTAGTGGAAATTCGAGACAATTTGGGTCTTGAATATACCGGAAAACACCGACGAGTTTCTCTGGCGCCTTCCATATTTCACTCGTTCCTTGCTATTTTTGATTACAAGCTGACGGCAAGTAACCAGAGCTACAAACTCCGTCGACTCCCAAATAGAGAATATTTTCGTATTATAAATTTCTTTTCTGAGTTAAATCTAATAATATTGCATGGTCATTAATACACTTATTAATTCCAATCTTTTCCTGCTCTGCATGCATGCAATATTTTTATTTTAAAAAACGCAGAAAGTTCGTCTTCTTCTTCTTTTCCTTAAAATATATATCTCTAAAAATATATATCTTATGCTGGTATTATGCTTAAGCTGGTTATATCTGGTTTTCCTTCCTGACGATTTAACTCCAGAACGCTCAAATCGATTTCCTTCTCTGATATATAGCATGTACCTCAAACCAATATTTTAAGTAGTCGTTTCCTAAATCATATCCAGGTTGCAGAAAAAATGGCATTAAAATGAAGTGGATGACATCATATCAGCTGAAATTTCTGGTCTTGCCACTGATCGCCATCTACACGACATTGTGACGACACAAATGGTCCATGGAACGCGTGGTGTATTAAATCCATTATCGCCTTGCATGGCTGATGGAAAGTGCACAAAACGATATCCGCAACCATTAGTTTCTGATATTGCGTAATTTGAATCCACCACGCCCTTCCAACTGTACTCGACTTTCGGTAAAAAAGCAACCATTATTAACGGAAAGTAGGCGGGTGAAAATGTATGAATTACTGGAATACCAATGATTCCGACTGATCTTCCGTTTGATTTTTAATGATTGAAATTTCCAGTTTGCTTTGCGTTCGCAATAACAATAAACAAGCCGCAAGGCCAATCGCTTAGTGTTTGCGGGATAAAATTTTACATGGGCAGCTAAACATTGCGTGTCCACGAGATGCGAAACCATCCGCTTTACTTGTATTAACGTCAGATGAAAAATTTAATTAATTAAATTGATTTCACGTCTCCCTACAGGTACTTGAAGCGACGCTCACGAACTTAATTAATTTACCTAAATTAAATTACCTCTCTAAATTATTTACCTCTCAGTCCCTCTTCCTGCTTAGAAACGGTGTTTTACCCCCGCCGTACCATACTTAGGTAATGATTTTTGTTATGGCCACTTTAGGCCCATCTGTTTCATCTAAAGGAATATCGAAAGAGTTCGATCGATAGATCTGCATAGGGGTGTTACAGACAGCTCAGAGACGCCACCCTGCCCCAAAGAGAGATCGGTAGCATGCACCACCTTCTGGAGGAAAAGGTTATTGACCTCGAATGGTTTGAAACTGAAACAACATGGTTCCAACCAGAAAAAGCAAGAGAAGGTCTAAGAAAACTACAAGGGGAATAGAGCGGCTGATTCGTTGAAAGCTACGCAAACGGGCCGGTTATAAGTTTAGAAATAAATAAGAAATTTCGAAAAATTAACAAAAACACAAAACATGTTTAAAATTGTAAAATAAATTTGGCGGGAGGCAGATGATTCATTTGGACATTTGGAGAGGATCAGCGAGGTCGAGTTGAGTGGTAAGGATAGAAAGCAAATGTATTTATAGTTAGTGGGACTGGGTAAGACCGGGGTCTCTCGCCAGATAGAAGGACCCACAAATTTAAAATATAAAAGTGGCCACAAGAGGTATATCACTTTTGGGATTTGCTCCTGAGTCACAAGGACGACATCAGCGGCTGATAAGAAGCTGATTTGCAAACTGTTATAAAGGAAACAATTGTACCATATGTAATATAAATCTGTGATATAACCATAAGTAAAATTAGGAATATGCTAGGTATTTCATCCTTGGCATATTGCGAGCATCGAAAACGGGGGAAATTCAACTGCGACATTAATGAAGTTTAAACAAAAAGAATCCTAAATAATAAATAAGCGCAGAAAGAAAATTAATTAAAGATATTTTGTTAGCAAAACATTTCAGCTTGTTAGATAAAATATAGTAGAAAAGTCATTCAATATTTTAAATTAATAAAAGGGGATGAAAGTAGATAGATATACGAACTTAATTAAATTCAATTGACTTTACTAATTGTTTTTTTTTTTTTTTTGTGCCAGAATCGAAAAGTCCTGCGACATCTGAAGACCCAGGGTGACGATTCGTGAGCCTTTGGAAGCGATCAGATGAAGAAGATGACCTCGGCTACCAAACGTCGAGTAGGGAGTGGCCTTTTTTTACGACGCAGGGTGAGTCCATCTGGAAGCAAAACAATAATTAATTAGTTATATGTTTTCTAGCGTCCTTTATTACAAGTCATCAATCCAATTAATGATATATGCTAGTTGACGAGCCGGGCGCCAGCGTTTGTTTATTTTTGTTGTATTTGTTTATTCACACACATATAGATGGCATAAGTATCAATGGGAGCCGCACACACACCACTCACAACCCGGGGAGTGGCCCAAAAGGCACTCCACACGGGTATTCAAATATCCAACTGGAACCGATTCAGGATTTAGGATACAGGTTTCACAGGAACAGATCTGTGATGGGCGAATTAAATGACTTCGACATCCAACACTGGAAAGGATCGGAAAAACGAATTGGGGGATACCCTATCGGGAATGGTGCAAGACGTTCAGGAAGCAGAAGACCACTGGGATTCCAGACCATAGAGTTTTAATCGGAGGAGTATCGCGAACTGCTAGACGAGGTTGAAGCGGAAAAATCTTAAGGCGATGTATGGCTTTATATTTAAACGGGTCAGGATGAACAGCAAACCAGAACTTTAAGAAAGTAGCCAGAAATCATCTAGACGTTGAATGAACAAGCGCACACACCACCAACGAAGGCCCATGGAGGAATGACAATAGCCCTGCATCGCTTAAGGCAATGGTTCAATAGGGGATGGTGGCTCAGGTAAAAATCTTCATCAGGGACTGCAAGGTGTGTAAGGAGACAAAGCCGTCGTATGAGGGTCCGAGGACAGGACTGGGAGGGGAAACCATCACGTATCGTCTGTTCCAGAAGGCTTACATTGACTTTCTGGGAAAGTATCCACGCTGAAAAAAAGTCCACAGGTCTACCAGTCTGTGCTGAACGCAATACGAGCATACCTGCAGGGTAACCAGCGAGAGTGGGATTTGTATCTTCCGGAGATAGAGCCGGCATTACGAGGCTCGGTTCATTAAGCTACAGGGGTAACATGTGTATGCATTGTATGTCATAGAAAGAATACGATTAAAAAATTGATTTGTATTTTCGTTTCAAATGTATTTATTATAAAATAAAGAAATTTAGAAAATAATAATATTTGACTTAAAAATAGATATAATAATTATTGAATGTATTAAAGAATTTATATTTAAATTATTTATTTGTGAGATGGAGAAATATTGTTTTATTCACCATGACTTCAGTGGTGTCAATTTTTGATCGTTTTTCGCAAATTAAATTTTTGGCAACAGAAAATGCCCTTTCCGATGCTGCACTGCTCGCGGGAGCTGCTAGTATCTTGCAGCTAATTTGATAAAGTAAAGGAAAACGGTCTTTATTAATTGACCACCATTGCAGATCATCAAAATCGTCACTGTACGCTTTATTTATTTTTTATATGTTTGAAGTTCATCCTAAGATATAGCGAAATATTAGATCTCTGAACAGGTTCCGAATAATCTGCAAATCTATGTCTTGTGCAGGTTTAATTAGTGGGTGGAAACAAAAAGAGGGCAATGTTGTGATATTTTTTAAAATTTTCTATGACTATTGAATCTAAGTACTCAAACAGTGAAATGTTGAATTTATTAACTATTTCTATGTCATTTTTATTTGGTGAGGATATTTTTTTTAAGTTTTTAATATGTGGAACAGTCAAGTACAATGTTGGATAATTACTACCCTCCAGCTTTTTGGAGCAACATCCAAAAGGGGCAAGAAGGTTCACCATTCCGCTAATATTAATTAAATTTATATCTGTAATTTTGCTAATTCATTTTTATCCACCAAAATCTTCGAAATGTCCATCCAATTTAGCTCAACAGTCTTCAAGAGGTTAAATATTGTATTCCAACGAGTTGGACAGTAGTTTTTAGGGTGCTTGTTAAGTTCCAGTTGTGTCCAGATTTTCTAAAATACTTAAAAAGCTTACTGCAGCAATTAACCATATCCAGCAATTCTGATACTTCATTCACAAGTTTGCCAATCACATTGTGTATCAAGTGATATGCAAATTATTTATTTATCTGGGTCGGCTGGCTATGCCTCCGTGGCAGAGGTAGGGCCGGCTGGTTGAATATCCGTAGCGGGGACGGCGGTAGGTTGCTGCCGCTGGTGACCCTCGTCGCTATAGCTCCCAAAAGATTGGGTGATGGTGACCACCAAGGTTGGTAGCCACTGGAGAGTCGTGTGGTCGCTTCGACTACCTTCCTTCTTCTAAAATACTTAAAAAGCTTACTGCAGCAATTAACCATATCCAGCAATTCTGATACTTCATTCACAAGTTTGCCAATCACATTGTGTATCAAGTGATATGCAAATTATTTATTTATCTGGGTTGGCTGGCTATGCCTCCGTGGCAGAGGTAGGGCCGGCTGGTTGAATATCCGTAGCGGGGACGGCGGTAGGTTGCTGCCGCTGGTGACCCTCGTCGCTATAGCTCCCAAAAGATTGGGTGATGGTGACCACCAAGGTTGGTAGCCAATGGAGAGTCGTGTGGTCGCTTCGACTACCT